ACCTTCGCGATTGGTTAACCAGTAATGGGGTTAATGGGAAGCCTGGTATTGAGATGCCGGCGGATGTGGCTAAGAATACTAGCCTCAAGTATCTAGAGGCGTACGAGCTGTTGACTGGAAAGAAATGGAGTTCTGTTTAATGACATGTACCACAATCACTTTACTTTACCATAGCAATGGCATATCCAGTTAAGGCAAATAATGAAACATCAAACTATGATTGTCAGGCAGTTAAACTAACATGGTAGCTACTCTACTTCGCTATTTGTACAATCATTCCGAATTACATGGCCAAGACTAGTCAATATCTGTTATCATTTTTGGTGATTTGTGTACTTGCCAATGTGGTTTAGGCATGGGAACACTGTCTGCATGATTGGTTGCCTAGTGTATGTCAGTAAAATATGCTTCAAATCTTTTCAGAAGATGTACCCATATTCTATCGATGCAAAGCTCGAAGGGCCCTGGGATACGGTCAATCAACCCGATACCAATAGTTCGGACCTTCTCCCTAAGCATCTCTCCTTGCGGTTCGGTCACTCGGCCATGATTTGTCCTTACAAACTCATTGGTCGGAATCTGGTTTAGATATTGTCAGCCTAATCAACCCAAAGGGAAATCGCCGGAAGCACATACATGGATAACCTCCCACTCTCCCGGAGTTTTAGAAAACAGCCTGTGCTGATGAAGATCTGATTCTACTATTGACTCCGTCTGTATATTGATAAAATACTTAGACCCATCGCTCTTTATTCTTAGTGCCAAGAAGGCATAAGGGTCGATGTTCCAGTACGGCCTGCCAAACAGGGACCGCCCACGCTCAACAGTGCGCCATGCAGCATACCCAGACCGTTGAACATTTGGCCTGTCTGGAGGGAGCTCGATCGAGACGTTTCCGTGAAAACGGCCATAAAATTGTTTCTCCTCCCCTTCTTTGGCTGGGAATGGCTCAAGATCCATCTTAACCTTAGAGAACCCGCCTATATCGGCGTCGGAGAATGTAACGATCCCATCTAAGGAGGATGGATGGCGGAAGGAGTGAATCTCCATATCATCGAAGTTCCCAGTCACTCCCTGCATGCTAAATACTGTGGCCCGTGAGGTTAGATGGTTTTAATTGGGAAAAAGGAATTCCTTTGGTATCGATAGCTATCAACCCGGTGACGTACCTTTGTGAGTGCCGGACTTGAACTCATCAAACGTTCGTTTGAGGAAGCCCCCTCGTTGGAGAAGCTTAAGAGCGGGCCTCATCTTCGGTAACCAATTGAACTTCTCTCGATTGTTGGGTGTATATTTGAGTTGTTAGAGTTGCGTGTGCGTGTGAATCCTGAAGTTGCGCAATGAGGCTCAGCAACAAAGATGTCACCGTTGCGCCACAATTTGGTTGTACTCTAAAATAATTGGTTACTCTAGCTACTAAACCAGATCTAGTAGATCTAATCACAACAATCAGTATCATAAACGCAGGTCTGAGAAAACTTGATTTGTGGGCCAGGACTTAACAAAATAACCAATGAAACTAGGAAATCCGACGAAAGCGCTACCACCAAATATGGGAAGCAAGTGGGAATATGTAGATAGGCCAATCCGCCCCCCCCCTTCCCTTCCCCAGCGAGCGCCCCTCAGCGAGCATCCACCAAAATTTTGGTGGGTAAGTACTAACCCCACACCCACCCCCTACTTAGCAGCAAGCTGCTCACCAGTAAAGCATGGAAGTTGAGGGGTTGGGGACGAGCCTAGGTAAGTACGTACAAATTACTCCCATATGCACATGTATGAGTCAACTAATTTGAAAATTTAATCATGAACTCCTCTAGATAGAAGATATATAACCAGGTATTAGTTAGACTGCAAGGCGCTAGTTAGAGACAATAGCGAGTACTTAGAAGAGGCAACTGTAGTTAGTATCACGTGATGATACATGATGGATAGTTGTAGCTAGATCATGGCGTGGCGACAGTGTGTCATCACTGTATAGGATAAAGGAAGAGGGGTCGTCTACCGAGACTTCTCCTCTCATCATCAATAAAGATAGATTAAAACCTATTACATGGACCCACTATACATGCGAGTATAATTCCTTCTAATCTTTGTGAAGTACATACGAAGTATTAACACCGTTAGTCGTAATTTCTACCGGCAAAGATGCCTCTAGGGCTCCGAGCTTCTACACTCTCAATCTAAGCTTCTGGTTCTAAATAAGAAGCTAGGATTTCAACGGGTTTTCATCCTGATACTACTTATGAAAAGTTAATTAGAAGAGCACAGATCAATTCAATGTCTAATGTTGCTGCCTGTTGCTATAGAGTAACTTCTATATATATGGCGAACATGCATTGTAGCCAAGATTTCAAAACACCTAGTTCATATATTCCTCAAAAGTGAATTTAAAGCCCTCGGGCTAAGATCCTAATATTAATTCGTAAGGGGTCCTGTATAGGATAAATCTGGTGTCCCCCTATCCTTCGTTTTCTCTGCCCCAGTAACGCAAACGTTGGCCGGCGGAAAATAGTATACTACATGTAGTAGTAGCCGGGGAGGGTGCACGCTAATACATTCATATAATCCAGTGCATAATAGACACCAAATCTTCGTACGCGGTGTTCTCTCCGACTTCTTGCATAATAGATCTCCTATATATCGCACGCAAATGGATATAAGCTTGAATTGAGTCATTCTTTCCTGCGAATGTTAAAAGTAGCGTTATAATAATAAAGTACGCACGTAATGATTGACAAACGAGATTCTTGAGGTGAATTCCAACGGTATGTAGGCAAGTTAAATAAGGAAGAATCATAGAGTTAATTAAAAAATAGGTGAACCGATCTTTGGATAATTATCACTCTAGGGTTTGAATGCGAAGGTCATGGCGATTGAAGCTGCTTAGTGAATAAGATACTTATCGCGATCGCGATCGATTTAATGCGATGGTAAACCACATCTACATGTACTTAAGTTTACGGTATCAATTATCCGGCGTAAACGTACATATACGTACTATAATCAAATCAATTACTGTAATCAAATGTCGGAGTCGAGTGATGGTTCATGATTTTATACGTCAGCACGGGCGTTGTGCTCACCTCACCAATACTGCTTACCTAATATTTCCACCCAGTTTAAGAGAGGTTTCGTGCTAAGTTTTACTTAACAAGAGGCATTTAATTCTAGCACTGTGAGAAGTCATAGTGGTTAGAATACACTTCGATTGTGTTATGGTCTTCTATTTGAGTTCTTGAGCCGAGAATTAGAGAATACTACGTATTTCTATGTAATCCTAAAGAATATTCGGATAAAGTACATGTAGTACCTACATGATATACTCTAGTTCCTCTAATCATTACTATCGAGTCAATATATATTTGCTTACAAGTAAATAATTTCATTTACACGGCAGTACGTTCTTTGATACATACATGTACATATGTATACCGTTATCAATATATCGCACATCCCGAAACTTCAAACCCCCGTGCACTGGAAATTTGGTGATCGGTTCTTGGTACTTTGTTCAAGACCTATGTAGAGATCCAATATCGCTTCCATAGAATCGATTGCACAAGCTGTACGAGTTACCCATACCTAGAAAATGGAGAGATAGACCTACTCTCCTCCTCCAATACGCAATGTGAGGTATGGCAGCAAGGTATTTCAGGGTTAAGCTTATGGTTGGACCTCGGCCGCGCATTGAGTATATAATTAATTAGATAATTTCCACTAGCGGTCTGGCGCCGTAAAGAGTGCAGATGTCTGTAATTGAAAAAAGGATCCATACTCATGGTATTGCATATAGGTACATGTATTTACAATTCGAGTTTCCAGCTCCTTGCCGAATCTATGGCATTGCACAATGCGGTATCCACGATGCCGCATTCCAGACTTCAATGAAGCTTTGTCGGCATGCCTTGGTCCGTTCGTTGCGCCCCTGGCATGGGGAACCTTGGCACTTCCCTACCCATGGCCACGCAGCACGCTACCTGAGGAACCGCTCGCCAATTTCCCTGGCACTGAAGATTGATGTATGTAGGGCCCCTGGACGAGACCGTTTTGCAACCACCTCTTCTTTTCATAGATCTGGTGGCATCTCAAGGGGCGGTACATACATGTAGTTATGGTACTGTACTCCAGCTCGCATGGGAGCCCGCAGAGTTCCATTTCCTGATGAGGTACCAATGTCCATTTCATGACATGACTCGAGCTGTTCTAACGGGCATCGCATCTAAGACGGATGAGATCTATCTCTCTGAATCGTGGAAAAGAAACCCCGTGCATGCATATCGACTTCCTGAGCCGGCCAACCACCAGTTTCCGATCCGCGTTGCAACGTTAGTCCCTCATCCGCCCTGTTAGAGAGCGCGACAAACCCCTGTTTCGTGCTGCCCAAAGAGCGGTGGATCTCGACGCGCCTAACTCTGGGGGAACTGTTTAGTCTATCTTGAGTAACACATTGAACCAGTCCCACCATAGACAAGTTAAACCTGGCCATGCACTATTTACCACCACCTCCCCCCTGGTCCCCTTTTCTCTCACAAAGATCCTGTCAACCTTCGTTTTATGGTGGTCTTTCTCTTTTGTGTTCTTCACTTACATATCGCTCTTTCCTCGAAATTCCTTGTCGTTCCTTGTACCAATACACCATATCCCGCTTATTGAACTCGGGAAAAACTTAATCTTTTTTTACTTTTTTATTTTTTTTTATTTTACCTACAAGCAAAACTTCGCATATGCCTATTGAGTACTGCTATCTTCAATACTCTTCAGGTGTCTAATACCTATTTTCTCTTTGTTTAGTGTGGTGTTGCATCTTTGGCATAGTATCGGCCATCACCTCTTTGGTTTCTATTCCGTATCAACTTCCTAGGGAAAGTGTAATCCTTCCATAAACTTCGGGATACTTTCTTTTCTCAATCAATTTCTTTTCTCCAATTCCAAACTATAACTTTCACGATCATTTGGGCAACTGGATTTGCTCTTTTTAGACCTCCACCTTCAGCTCCTCGATGCGGTTATCATCAGCCCTTCTTCTTTCAGTGGCTGCGATTGTGTTCGCCTTCCAACCTGTTACAGAATCAGACGAGGTCATACCATCAAGTAATTCACAATGGAGGCCATTATCTGGGCTAGAGACGAAAAGAAGTGCCCCTGCTGCAGTACATAGCTTACAGTTGAGGCGGCAACCCGATGTTGTAAGTTTGCTCTCTTTCTTTTTCTCTAGCCTTTTAAATGAGTGTTATATCCAATTCGAGGTTTTGTTACTGATAAGATTATGTAGGACAACGGCCTTCATCCTGAGATTAGAAGCATACAAGCCGCGAATAGGGTGACGAAAAAGTTTAGACGAAGGGGACTTGAGGGACCGAGTGTGGATGGGGAAGAGGTCATCCGGCAACTGGAGCAGTCTCTGGAACGACGAAGGCTTTTATCGAAACGACAGAGTTCAGGAATAGTTGTCACAGAGAGTGGCCGGGCTACAGCTACGGGTGGAATAATACCTGCGGAAACACCAAGAACGCCTGACTCCATGGGTGTTGGTCAAGATGGAACCGACGTGTGTGAGTTTTCTTTACGCCGTTTTAGGGGGGAATATAATTATTAATGACCGAAGTATGAAAACAGCCTATTTTTCGGAAGTGATGTTTGGTTCTGAAAACAAAACTTTTATCTTGGTAATTGATACCGGAAGCTCCGATACTTGGATTCCCTCTAGCAAATGCACATCGGAAGCATGTAAAATCCATTCCACTTTCGGACCAGACGACTCAGACACGTTGAAGACCACCCAAAAGACTTTCGACATCAAATATGGTAGTGGTGACGTTATGGGCACCGTTGTTACCGACTCAGTCAAGTTTGCTGGTTTTGAATTATCACTTTCATTTGGTCTTGCATCGGTGGTCTCAGAAGACTTTGTTAATTTCCCTATTGATGGTATTCTAGGCCTTGGGTTTAGTGATGGGAGTCAACAGAAGGTTCCTACAATCATGGACGAGTTGGTGGATAAAGGGTTAATTAAGTCGAAGTTGTTTGGGATTGCGTTGAGTAGGCATGGAGACAAAGTGAATGACGGTGTCATTAACTTCGGAGGTATAGACTCTGGGCTGTTTGAGGGTGATTTGACATTCACACCATCTGTCTCAGACCAAGGATTATGGGAGCTGAAGTTGGATGACGTGAGTGTTGATGGAAATACGCTAGGACTTACTGGGAAGACTACTATTATCGATACGGGTACCTCCTTGGTAATAATTTTCGTCCCCAAAACTTTCTCTCAATTCATATCTAATCGAAACTGTTCTTATATTATAGCTTCTCGTTCCGCCTCAAGATGCCCTGAGCATTCACTCTATAATCCCAGGGGCAGTGGTTAGCGGGGAAACATTTGCGATTCCTTGCGACACAGATGCCACCATCGAATTCACCTTCAGTGGAGTTACATACAAGGTCAAACCTATTGACTATGTTGGGACCGAGGTAGATCTCGAAAACATGTGCCTCTCTTTAATCATATCACGTCAAATTCTTGGAAAGGACACCTGGATTCTGGGGGACGTATTTCTCAAGAATGTTTATTCTGTGTTTGACCTGCAAAATAATCGTATTGGTTTTGCACCGAGACAAAAGCTAGACGATAGCTCCGCAGCAACGTCCACAGCAACTGGCAGCACGTCCCTTGAAAATGCCCCAGCACCGACAACCTCAGGATCGTCCTCGAATTCCAACGCGTCTCCAGGTGGTGATGCAACTCCGTTCGGATCAAGTGCACCACAATTTATGCCTCAATCTTTTTTCATATTTTTAGCACTGCCTTGCATATTAGCCCTAACGGCTGTATTTTTGTGATTTCTCCCTTTTTGTTCTTGTAGTCAGTTATGAGAGGATTAACCCATAGTTCCTACCTTATTGGCACAGCTTCTGAGGTTATTCTACTAAACATATTATATCATTTCTTTTGTCTCTGTTGATATACCAGGCGCGAGGGGAAATTCGGGCATATGGGTTCCCATTCTTCATTATTATTTTCTTGTTTCGTTAAATTCGGATCACATGGGCGGTTTGATTTCTTCCTTGGTATGTGGAATATTTAGAAGGCTCCGTGGTGATTCGAGGGGTGGTTTCAGGGCGGTTTTAGGGACAATTTAGTTTAAAGTCAATAGTAAAAAATACATAGTTAAGCGATATTTATCGAGTGATTTTTGGTGGAAAGAGAGTAAAACCGCGACAGCAGTTGACTAAGCGCAACATCCCTGTAGCTGCTGCACAGAGGCCACGGAACGACGTCCCTTTAGACTTTTGAACCCCCTCCAAAGCATCGCCGTTGTTTCTCAATATCGAATATTCCCCACCCCACTAAATCAACCACTATATCTCAATTCTTCATCCTTTGAGTAGCTTGAATATTTTCCGATGGTACAGCTCCTGCCTTGTTTCTAGGTTCGTCTTGAATGTAATTCTAACTGGACGTCTATGCTTTATAGGTTGTACTCGCAGCTTCAATCTGCACCCGAGGGGGCAAGCCCGTGCTTTCGCGCCAATTCCGCGAGTGAGCCTATCCTGAAGTTTGAAGAGATTTCTGAGGGTGATGAAGCTGATCTGGGATGATAGGATGCCTCGTTCTCGTATCGAAGGTCTCCTCGCATCATTCCCGAAACTCACTGATACAGGTACTCAGCACACTACCATAGAGACGGAAAATGTTCGCTATGTCTACCAGCTTCTTGTGGGTTCAATCAAACGTCCATACCAAAATTACGGCTAACACAGTTTCTAGGACGAGCTTTACCTTGTCCTCATAACCAACAAACAGTCCAATATTCTGCAGGACATCGACTCACTGCATCTATTCGCCCAGGTCGTGTCCTCGATCTGCAAATCACTTGATGAACGAGAGATACTGAAGAACTCATTTGAGCTTTTGAGCGCATTCGATGAGGTTGTCTCGTTGGGCTATAGGGAGAATTTGGGTCTACAGCAGATAAAGACCTTCTTAGAGATGGAGAGCCACGAGGAGAGGATCCAGGAGATTATTGCCAGGGTGTGTTGCCTTATCTGGAAAGGCCTAAAGAGTGGATGTAGGATGTGGGGAACAGAAAAATACTGATTGAGAATCTATGTAGAACAAAGAGTTTGAAGCTACCGAGGAGCGGAAACGCAAGGCTAAACAGCTCGATCTCCAACGGAAGGAAATGTCTCGTAATGCTTCTGGAATTGGTTCTGGAGGAATGGGTTCATCTGGTCGTTCTTCAACCCCACGCGCCCCGCAATTTCCGACTTACAACCCCCCCTCAAAGTCTACGACGGATTCTTACGACTCATACGAGGCTGAGAAGAAAAAGACTTTTTCGTCAGCACCCAAGGGCAAAGGTATGCAGCTTGGACGCAAGTCAAAAACGACGGATATGTTCGAGCGTGTCCGCGGGGATCTTGGTGCCGATGCCGAGGAACGCGCGCCTCTGGTCTCGTCGACACCAGCCCAAGATGTTGTATCCCCATCAAGGGCCAGCTTTTCGGGCGATCGGAAAGCAGTTCAGATCATCATTTCAGAGCAGATATCCGCCTCTCTCAACCGTGAAGGTGGCGCCAAGAGCTTTGAAGTCAAAGGTGACCTGCAGCTTCGGATTATGGACCCTGCACTCTCCAAGGTGAAACTCAGTGTCACAGCCGAAAATGCGGACGCTCAGTTCCGCACCCACCCCAAAGTTGACAAGGGCTTGTTCTCGTCACAGTCCATCATCCAGCTTAAGGATCAAGGGCAGGGCTTCCCGGTGAATCAACAGATTGGCGTTCTCCGTTGGCGTACTACAACCGGTGATGCACCTTTGGCTTTTACTATATGGGTTAACCAGGGTCCCAGTGCTGGTAAATACAATGTCACGGTGGAATATGAGCTCGCTGGAGAGGATACGCTTCGTGATGTTATCATCAATATTCCATTCCGCCGTGATGAACCAACTGTGACTACTATGGACGAGGTCTACGAAGTTTCGGGTGATAGTTTAGATTGGACAATTCCATCTATCAGCGAGGATAATTCTACCGGAAGTTTTGAGTTTGAGGCGGAAGCAGATGAGGATAACGAGTTTTTCCCGATGACTGTCAAGTTTAGAAAGGAGAGCCCAATTGTGCCTGTTGATGTAAGTGTTCAAACAATAATTAGTCAACCAATTAAACGTTTTAGGAGGGTAAATATCCATGAATGGCTACTGACAAATTGTAGGTTCACGAAGTTACATTGACAGAGATGAGTGAGAGTCTGGACTTTTCCAAGGACGTGAAAGTCGTTGCTGAAAATTACGTTATTTCTTAGACGGGTAGTTTTAGACGATATTGAATGGATGTTATACTTTTACTGTTTTTATATTAGTTCTTTACTAAACTATCCCAGGTCAGAGGGTGGTCCTTTTTTCTTTCTTTTCTTTGCCAAATAATGTTTCATGATTTGCTTCTCATGGTCGTTTGATGCGTCCTATGTTCGCCGTAGATTTGAGAAGGCTCCTTTTGTCGTGGCTAGAAAAATAGTTATCGCCGTCACATGGACTTGCCCTTTCACATCATTTTGGCATGGGAGCTTTGATGTGTAAAGCTTGTCGTGTAAGGCGCTGGTGTTAAACTGAGAGTCGAGGGAGTAGAAAATCAATAAAATTCACATCGATGTGCTACTTCTACTAGGACCTGCACGCCATATAGAAAGTAAGCTATGGCTATTGTGTCACCTCTGTTTCTTCAGGATGTGTATCGCTTTGTAATTAGCGAAATATTCGGTGTTAATTGTAAGTCCACTAGAGTGAGAAATCTCCGCATTTAATCTATTAAAAACCTACAGGATCAACGATATCCCAAACTAAGTAAATACACATGAAATTTATTTTTGTCCAATTATACAATTACTCCTTGTCAGCGCCTGAAAATCCCAAGAAACCTTCTCATATCATTAGATATCCGATATAATAATCAGATTTGTTTCCTCCTTTTACGCCCATCGGCCCTGGGTTTAACTATAACATGTTCTTCTTCGCTCGAAGTGTCTTGGTCAGCAACCAATGTGGCATTATCGTCTTCATCGACACTCGCCTCTTCGTCGTTCTCGTCCTCGTTATCCTCATCATCTTCCCACTCGCCCTCACCTTGCTCATCAACAAAATTATCATCGTCGCTATTGATCCCACCCCATTCCTCATCGACTTCCTCTCCATCGCCGGCCGTGGTACTCGCCACCTGCGAGCCCTCCATTTCATCGGCGCTGCGCTTTTTCCTCATTTCACCCAATCGGCCCTCTCTACCTTTGAGCGCAATGACATTCTTGGCTTCCTCCTCTTCAGTCATCTCGGGGACAGGCGTAAACCAAGGAAGCTTCCCTCTCATAAAATCATTTAGTACCATTTTGGCGACACCATCCATATCTGCTTCGCCGCCTTTCAGCAGTCTGCCCCCCTTCCGTGCCAGCATCTCACAGAATTCGGTTGCGTTTTTCCAGCCTTTGATCTCGTATGTCCTCTCGATATGTTGCTGCTTACACCTCTCCAAAACAGCAGGTATGTACTGTTCTGGATTTGAGACGTTCTCGACACGGACAACACCTCTAAGAAGAATATCGGTTTCGGTGTCGGTGGCCGAGGGAGGAACAATACCCGGGCAATCGATCAGAAAGATACGACGCATCAGAGTAATGTACTGCCACACCTTGGTTTCACCAGGAATGGGCGCTACCGTGCACACCTTTTTCTTGCGTAAGGTGTTGATAATGGAAGATTTACCTGTGTTGGGGTAACCAATCAGACCGACAGATATCTGCTTACGATCTGAGTGCAGAGCAGAGAATTGGCGTAGGAGTTGAATTAGAGATCCTTTCCCGAAAGAGTTGTTTATAGAAGCATGGAATGCCAGAGTGGGGTAATCTTTGGAAAGACGTCGAACCCATTTGGCCTGTTCATATGAACAATCAGCAGTGTTTCGTAAGAGGTTATCTAAAGAAAGAATTGAAATTTAGAGAGAAATGTGTGAATCATAACTAAGAGGACCAACACAAGGTTTTTCAGTGAAGAAAAATGTAGGAGCTCAACTCAAACGAAACACATCCCAATCCCTAGGTGATTTGACCCAAAACGGGTAAATCGATATCAATCCTAGTCATAAAACATGATAAGGACGACGAGTCGGGACTGGGTTTTGATCTCCCAATGTTGTAACAGACATCTTCGACTGAAGAAAATGATCGATAACCAAAAGGAAATCTCTCACGATGATGCCTTGACTTGAACGATGGGACCGGTAGTAATCCGGAAAGAAAGGGGCAATGTGATATTTCCGAGGGTTTTAAACATGAGATGGGATAAACGTACCGCCACATTTGTAGGAACCAAATCACATTTATTTAATACAAAGATGAGGTGCTTATGAGGCGCTTCTTCTTTGATATATTTCTCGATGCTTCGGCATCGAGTTCCCAAGGGATCTCGGGCATCAAGAACATGTATTACAACATCTGATGAATCGATGACCTTGATGCAGGTTAGCCTCGATTCTTGCAAAGTTTTCTCTGCCAGTGTAAGTTGGAATAAATACCTTGTAAAGCTCATTCCAAATTCTTTTACTTTGACCCTTTGAGAATATAGGCTCCTTGGCTTCTGTAATCCATCCAGATCCCGCTTCAGCGGCATTTTCCTCGCTGCTCTTACCAGACAATAGAAGTTTCATTTCTAGAGTTTCTTCATATTTTTTGTCTTTCACCTCACACTCGCCTACTAAATCCTCCAAAGTGGAAACTGCCAATTTAGGACGTTTTCGCTGTGCTTTTGGACCAAAGGTCTGAGCAAAGGGTTCTGTCTCGACATGGATTTTCGCAGCATGTTGCTTTGAAGTAGGATCCGCGAGAAGAGACATGGGAAGTTTATTCTGTTTCAAAAGAACTTGATACGGGTCATTCGCTTTCTGGGCCATTGCCTCTCGAAAAGAGGTAAGAGCGCCCTGCGAAATAACTCTTGTATTGCCTACAACCGATTAACGTGTAAGTTTCCCAATTATTATCATTATTATCTTTTTCGAGAAGGGATTGTGGTTTCAATATAACGAAGAAGGAGGGATACATACCAAACCATTTCCTATTGGGCTCAATTCGGGCGGTTGGAATTTCTCGGGATTGGAAAGAAGCAGCTTTAAGAATATCTCCATTTTTATTTCGGATAGGTTTCCCCTCCTTATACATATTCAATCGCCCAACCTTTTTGGCATCGCGGTAGAAATTCTCGCCCTTAACTTTGACATTGGACATGCCATCGCCGGCAGTGTCCTTACGGCCACTGTGGACCAGTTAGCATTAATAGATAGGACAAATTGGGGGGATAAAAGATGATGGAGGGGGAATAGAGGGAAGGTTTACCGACGGGAGGCCTCTTTCTTAAAATTTCCCATCTTTGATGAATGTGTAGGGAGAATGGAAAATATTTGTGTGAAAGGAGTGGGAGAAGGAAGAAAGACTTAAAACCTTTTTTTTTTCCCTCGTCAGTAGCGTGTGGGCTGCCAAGAACATAACGCCTGTCCTCCCAGCCGATGAGGGGTCAAATAATCAGCGGAGCCCCAGTCCATTTTGAAACATCTCGAAATTCTTGACTTAACGTCAGATCGTATAAGTGAGCCCAAGGGTCACAAAATAAACAACCCAACAATGGCATCAGTTGCAGCTTCAATTCGAAGGGTTGTGACCACCACTGCCCGCCAGTCTCCCTCACAAATATGTCGGTCTGCAATCAAGACGCCTCTTGTCCCCCGGTCGTTTTCATCATACCAATCCCTGTGGGCCGAAATGGACACCGGTAGTCAAGTAGGAATGAATGCGCAAGCAGGACAGAGAGTAGAAGTTTTAGACGGAGTTGCTCACCGTGAGCCACCTGAGGGGGATCTGGACAATATCGCTGAAAAGGAATGGGAGTTTGACGATTTCAGCTCCATGGCACATGCGGAACTTGAAAGGCATAGGGAGGCAAGACAATATGCCAGAATAGCGGCGTATGAAATGCCACGACTATCTGGTAAATTCAATATTTATAAAATTAGATCTCACAATTAATCTCACTGATATTTTGGTGCAGAGCTTGTCAGGCCGTTCGTTCCCCCTAACGAAAAGGAAATTCTCCGTTTTCGCTACACTACTTATATGGGCGAAAAACATCCAGCTCAATCCAAAGTAGTTTGCGAATTTGCCACCTCAGATCTTCCCCTCACGCAGGTCGAGAAGAATAAGTTGATTAAGCTTGCGGGGGTCAGATATAACCCTGATACGGATATCGTCCGCATGTCGAGCGAGATGTTTCAACACCAGGCGCAGAATAAGAGGTATCTTAGTGATTTAGTAGACTCCCTTATTGCGGAAGCAAAGGTACGTGTATATATACAATTGCGTAATCTCTTCTGATAGACGGAAAACTAATGCTGGCCATGGCCATGTCTCTGTAGGATTCGACAGAAACCTTTGAGGATATACCATTCGACTTTCGACATCATGAAGCAAAGAAAGCTCCCCCTAAGCCGAAATTTCCGAAGGAGTGGAGGTTGAGCCCTGAGAGACGGGCACAGCTAGAGGAGGAAAGGGCAAACCTTGAAAGGATGTTTGAGCAATAGCTGTGTTGTATATATGGCTTACTTTCCGAACAACTGTATCATAACCTGTACAAACTTAGATGGAAAACATTACGGGTTCACCAAAATAGGTATCTATAATATTGTCTAAGCGGTTTAATAAAAGGATAAATGGACCTTCTCTCTGACGAACTTAACAATCATGATTGTATTGTCTATTTTACAATGTAATATACCCAAACAAACTTTTCCTTTAACGCTTGACCCAGGTGGGCATCTTACGGGCCTTAAGATGACCGGGCTTCTTCCTCTCAACGCCCCTGGGGTCGCGAGTCATGCAGCCAGCTGAACGCACATAAAAGTCAGTGAGCCACGCTCACAATGAATAAAATCCAAACAAGAGACGCCAGAAGTAATTTGAAATCGGTGGGAGAAATAATTGGTGGATTGGGAGGAAACAAACCTCTCCGTAAAGCCGGTTTGAGAGCCGGCTCATGGACTAGCAAAGCCTTAGCAAGTCCCAAGGTCAAGGCCTCAGCCTGTCCAGTTGTTCCCCCACCCTCCAATACAGCCCAGACGTTGTATTTGTCCATTCTGGACGTTGAGAGGAGTGGCCAGAGTGCACTCTCACGATCGTGTAGCCTCGGGAATACGTCCATTATTGGTTTTCCATTGACCATAACTTCACCATTTCCCTCGACCACATACACTCTCGCAACTGATGTTTTCCTCCTTCCACAGCCATATGCCCTCCCAAGCCCATCGACGGTCCTTGGTCTTGGAATGTTCAAGTGTTCGTTGGCCACATGCTTGTATGGCTCCAATGCCTCCTTCGTCTCTTGTGGTAACAACGAAGGTTCGATACGGTTGAGACGATTAAGAATCCTGCTGACTCTGTTGTACCGTGAAGGTTTGACGTAGCCACCGATCATGTCACGGTACTCGATAAGGGTTTTCCATTTGACCTGCGGGGCCTGATCACCAGGAACTGTGGGGAGGGTTTCGTGCTTTCGGAGCAATTCTTCGAGCGCAAGAATGTTATCACAATACTCAGGGTTTGCATTGTAATACGAGGCAGAGGCAGGTGTCAAGCGGGTCCGGAGTGCGATGCTTTCTTCTAGCTGAGAGGTCTTTTGAGTGGTTGACAAGGCCCGTGACTGCTGGAGGAGCGCCAATGTCCCTCTTGAGCGGAATTGAGGATTGGAACTGATGAGACTATCTGCAACTCGATAGCAGCACCGGATCGTCTTAGAGCTGGCCGCTGCCATGGTGGTTTGCGGTCGTGGTTGTGAAGTTACAAGGCTGATTTTCGCGATATTTAAATTCCTCAATTCCCCGCTGATATTTTTGAGATATGGAGTCTGTACTAAGGTTTAGGGTTTCTGTTGACAACAACTGAACCACTGAACCGAAGCACTTCAGCGCTGTCGCGATAAGAACCAATCAATTGCAGCACGGATAGTGCATATACATTGCCGATACATTGCAGATGTATCTTGACACGGCTGACAGTTTTATTGGATTTTAGTGAGATGTCTTACGATGCTAGATGATTAGATGGGTTTTAGATGCGCGAGTTGACAGGAAATCTGAGTTCAGCCGATCCCATACAACCTGCAATGCTCAATGCAACCGGTTCCACCTCCTCTTATATTTTCGAGAACTCTGTACATATGACCACTAAATGATCCATTGAAGCGATCATGAGAACCATTTCGTCTCCTCATATATTTACAATATGTGTAAATTAGAGCCATCTGCAGAAGAAATATCAAGCCCAAACGCCCCGGTGAACCCACCGAAACAATTCCGGGCCGACTGTCAATATTCAACTAGGTGAGACTTGGTGGACACGGCGAGAGCCCTGAACACATGCATGTCTACATGTACTCTATTAATGATGAATAATTACATACATATGTACTTGTATGTACCAACAGGTACACGTACTCGTATTTCTCTGACGTTTGTGGACGCGACTGATATTGCATGCCATACAAAAATACGCCAAGCTCATGATTTTGGGTGTATGCAATAATGGCCCAGTTCAAAAACGTCAGCGAAATACTAGTATGTAACTACATACTACATGTACATTTATAATAATACTATATCCTTTCTTGATATGGAAAGAGGCCCAACTCGCCACATCATTCTACACCTCAAGCTACGAACCTCCGTCGTGGGTTCTCGCTCGTGGCATCTTAGACCGGTAGCCTCTTGTGTCAGTCACGTGCACGGTATTTGTGAACATGTGGTCAATACATGTATATACACATGTGCGTTTTAATTGCTAGAAGAAGTTGCTCATTGGACGGTGAATTAATCCTCCGAATATGAGATGTGTAGTGAATCAACTTAGTTCGTTTGCTCTCAATATTACTTAGACTACGTGACTTTTTCCTGAGAGTAAATCACATACGGTAACATATTTTTCCAAAATGTGTGGGGACAGTTGTGCTTTTACAGTGTTGTAATATACCGAGTGATACCTCATGATGCAAGCACTAATACATACATGTATTGTATGCACACATGTTCTTTGTAAAATGGAACCTAGCTCCAGCCAAGTTACTTTACCATCAGACCTTTGGAGAGAGGGCAAATATTGTGAGGTGTTATCATTGGCGATTGAAGACATATTTCTCGCTAGTTACTTTTAACTTCTGAACCGTGTAAGACAGCACACCATTCCAATCACCAGCAGGCCAACACACTTGTGAATCCGCCGGCGGGGCAACATTACCCCCCTCGGGAAGAGAAAAACTTCGTACAGATTTAGTACCATCCGTAGTCTTTACTTGATCTATATCTGAAAGTTTGGGCCCACTAATTTACTTAACAAAACACCTAACGTCATGATGACATTGGTCATCAAATTTGCAAAGGGATGGATAAAGATTGCCTTGCTCCCATAATAATGATACATGCCTTGTATTTTCACCTACGCCTCGAGCCCCCAAACATCATTCACAATAGTGGGATTACGGGACGCTGAAGGTGCGGGGTCGGACGTTTTAGAAAGTTGTGTATAATAATGACCTACACTATTTGACTAGCATCTACTATCAAAGACAACAGGAACAAATACTACCCCTTCTGAGATAGGTAAGTCTCTGTAACCCAGCGAATTATCGCCATTGGCAAACTTCCAACTTTCTATCTCTAGCCAAACCGCATCGGCGTTAACCCCCTCCAGTGCCCTTCTCACATCATCCCTCTCGATCAAATTCTTCGCACCAACTGTTTCACACATTTCGTCCACAACCTCATCGCTTATAGGAACATTCGCCGCAACACTAGTCAAGAGCCTACAATAAGCATCCCACTTCTTGAAATGCGGGCTGTAAACCCCTAGGCTTCCACTCTTGATTCTTCTCTCTTTCTCCAATTCTTTGTAGGCCTTTATGTAGCCCCTCTTGATACTAGGCCATGATTCGTTTATCCGGGACGCCATAAATCCACCGCAGCATTCGGTAAGTTGGGAGACGGCGTCCGCTGCGGCGACTACAATATGTGATTCGTCCTCAAAGAGACGATTTATTACAACAGGCCAAATGGCATTGACTAGTGGCAGAAACTCGTCTTCATTGCCAGCAAGGAGGGGCGATGCGGTGGTGACAAGGCGGAGAAGTTTCGTTCGCAAGACTGGAGAATCGTGGGTAAGGTAATGTTGGCTGAGACGTGTGATCCGTTGGACTAGTTCGTACGATTTTGTCGGCTTGATGACCTGATCATCCGGCCGGTTACTTTCGTTTTCATCGTCACCAGAGAGCTCCTTCAATCTTTGATTATCCTTTCCATTTCCCCACGGCTCTCTCGGGAACGGCTCCTGTGCGCTCCCATCTGCTTCAGCTTCTTCTAGAGGCTCCACCCTAGGCCTTTCTTTATCTGCATCGTGCCTCAAGGTTGCCAGCATCTCTTCTCTAGTCAACCAATGCCTCCCTTTTACCTTACTCCCCACTCTCCTGTCTACTTCACCTACATAATTGATTGCTGCAAACTCTCCTGCTTTAGCGCTCTCTTCGACAATCTCCCCGAGCACCCCAAATAACGCTTCACAAAGTCCTTCATACCCATGAAATGAATCTAGAGCAGAAAATATGCTAACCACCATATCATCTAGATATGGCACTAAATTGGCTCCCGCGAGCTTTACCATCATCCCGAGTACGACCGGAGTTTGTGGTGACAAGTCGAACGTGTTCAGCTTTAGCGCAACCGCATTAACCATATAATCGACATTGTCGAGAAGCATATCTTTAGCGGATGGGTATGCACAAAAGTGCGCGATATTGTTGAGGGCTACTATTGCGTGGGTTTGAACCTCGCGAGAGGATGCACCAAGAAGATGGACAACAGGATAGAGAGCGTCAACCAGATCTCCACGAAACGATTCCTTCTGGGCTTGAGCGATGAGAGATAAGGATTCCAGGGCTAGACATTGCAACATTGAATCCAAGGAACCAGGTTTATCTTCTGTTGCAGCTTCTGTCGCATCACCTAGGACTGAAAGGGAAACCGAGAACAATTCATCAGTTACTCGTTGCTGAAGGCCTGAGGATGACGTGATCTCTAGGTCGAAAAATTCATCAACTTCTGCTGAAGTCTCTAGTGATCCTCTAAGTAGTTGTACTGCGATCCATAGCGATGTAGCTCTCGTTCCGGCAGGGGTTCCGCCTCGGGAACTTTCCCGTATGTGCCTCTGCGCGAGGGTCAGAGCAGTCTCAGAGGAGCCACCCAGCAAAGCCAGTAGTCTCTTCATACTGGTCACTGTGCCTATTTGACTACGATGCCCAAGCACAACGTCTGGAAAGCGAGCAACCTTTCCACCGCCGATATGATCCTTATTCACGAGTAGTAGTTCCAACGATACCCGTTTGTCATCGACGGGTTGCAATGTGATTTCCGTTCTAGTACTGGAAGAATTGGTGCTAATAAGGCTATCCCGAATATTATCTGCTAGCATGTCCTGTAACAAATCGGTCTCTAACCCTATATCTGCTAAAAGCTTGAAGGATGCCGAAAGTCGTGTGATCAGTCTTGTTTTTGCGTCTTCGTCGCTACCGCCCATGACCCTCGGGAGTGCGACAATCCAACCATGTAAACTGGCTTGAATAGCTTCTTTGATGTTCTGATTTAATGCTGCTGAGATATGGAGTGTGCTCTCTGCGAGTCTAGCAAAATCTTGATCGTCTTCGTCGCCAGAAAATACAATCATTGACTCGACTAGAGGTGCGTTGGCATCGACCAAGGAATTTCTGCAAAACTCAAGAAGGTCCCGACATAGTTCAAAAACAGCCTTTCTCACCTCGCACTTCGGGTGTGTACGCAAACGCAACACGTTTTCCAGGGCTGTCTTAGTGTTCAATGATGTCGCTTTCAACCAGGCCGTTGTTCTATGGACTTTGAGATCATCATTCTTTTTCGGTGTTTCTACCGGCCCTTCTGTTATTAACTGTACTGCGGATTCATCCGACGGAAGCCCCGAAGTTTGTTTGTCTCCCAGAACTCGGCAGATGATCCTCGTGAGTAAGTTCACTGTACCCCTGAGAACTTGATAAGGCCTCTTAGTTGTCTTCCCTAGTCCTATGACCTTGACCAGACCAGAAACTAGGCCAGGATAAAAACTAGCAATAATGTCGTCTTCATCCACAGAGCGAAATAACAATGCTGCGATAGCATCTAACGCTGTAATCTGTAGATCGATCGAAGATGTGCTTTCAAATAATACCCCCAAGACCGTTGTTACCGTGTGTCCAACAGAAGGTAGATATTGCACATCTGCTAAAGCGCCTTTTCTGGTTCTCCCCAAGCTTTCAAACAATACAAGTAAACATTTAATACCAGCCAAGTTTGTCTCTTCGCTCCGTTTCTTCCCCTCTATCCCTACCCCGGGCACAGCACCGCCAATAATAAATGTAATGAGGACTAGTAACTGTTTTGCGAGTTCAGTTTCTATGTTTAAACGCCAACAGGTTCGTATCAACACCTCTAGACACTGTAGTCCAAGCTCTAGGGCTCGGTCGTTGAGCGTCTGATGCTGACGGAAGACATGAGATAGCGGGAAGAAAACATAGTCCCCAAGGGAATTATTGATAACATTCGGATCCAGGTTTGAAACAGAGTGGAGGTTTGAGTAGAGGTTTGCTAAAGCTAAGGTTAATGCTTGAGCGTTTGGGCGCGAGGTCAGAATGTTGTGGCTGACAGCAATGCAAGAAGGTTTGAGCTACAGTGTTGAGGCGTTAACTAATTACATATATCTATTTGGGTCAGAGTGGAACATTCCATACCTGCTGGAAAGCATTTCGCCGCAGCGTTTCGATATCTTCGCTGATAGTGGCACTAGAGTTGTTCATGGCTACCATAGCAAACGGAATGAGAACCTTAGTCAGTCAAGGATGGAGGTCTGAGTTAACATGGCAGGGTAACACAGATCCACGTGTGAATCATTACAATTAATGAAGTAATCAATCAATCAATCAATCACGTGGGAATCATAGGAGATCACTCGACCTAATTAAGGCCAAGCACTCACCAAATATTAAACTTCATTCTAACCCAGAGGTTCACTTACCTTGGATTGTTAGGTATTACATCACGCGGCCAAGGAATAATTGTGTGTGTGTGGATTAAACGGTACACTCGGTACGTATAGGGATCCAGAACCCTCTAAGCAGGAAATGAGAGTAATAATTTAGCGGCGAGTAAAGAAACATGCACCCAAATGTACCTACATGTAAGCGCGGGTCCTTTGTGAATCATGTACATGTAGGTACACGTGCATCTACTTTGGATTTCGAATGCGCTGGTAAGGTCGTGTTCTCTCGCTCGTTGATATGAGGTGAAGCTATGTCGTAACGTATACGGCCGGGAAAAAAAAACAGGAACAGATGTTACAATTCCATTTAGGTATCCATTTCACATAAAATAACAAGCCTAACACCTGAAGGAAATTATGCACGAAGGTGCGCAATGCTTTTGCCTATCCAATCCCCGCCCCCAAATTTATTTATTTTGCTAACAAAGAGAAAGAAAAAAAATCAATAACGCTCCTCCCCTCCAAACGCTTAATCGGTGTTGATGATCTTCTTGAAAGTCTCGGACTTTCCTGGCCTCTCCGTCGAAGCCTCGACCTTGACACTTCCGAGCTTCTCAGCAGCAAAAGCCTTTGCGTAAGGGTTGAGCCTGAGAAGAACCTGTTTGTTCTTAAGAGGGTTCTTCTTGAGCACACCAGCCTTTCCACCCTTCTTCTGTCTGGCACCACCCTTAGCAGGCCTGACAACAGCCTGCACTTCAGCAGAGTTGATGAGACGGCCGATGTCAGAGTTGGTGACAACGTTCGAGGGGAGAAGGTAGTTCTTCTTGAGAGCTGAAGGTGTGGTGGTGGTTCCGTAGATAGTGTCAAGGGCCTTGAATGCGGACTCGGTCCAGATGACGAAACGACCGAGATGACCACCAGGGGCAAGCTGGAGGAGGTTGAGGGCTGTTACGGGGGCAGTCTCGACACCAGGAATGTTGCGGAACGCCTTGACGACACCAGAAGCACTCTCATCGGCTGGGTTGACAATGAGAAGAGGACCACGGCGCTGCCTGTGACGGCGACCCCTAAGCTTTCCCTTCCCAGCGCGAAGCTTCTTGGACTTGCTGACCTTGACGACATCAGTGTAGGCACCGACGGACTTCAAGAGGGCGACAGCAGCACGGGTCTTCTCCATGGAGCTGAATGCGGAATCGGCAACGACGAGCGGAAGTTCAGGAACGCCAGAGACGCGGTGGCCACGGGCCTGGACAAGAGGAGCGACAGAGGATGCAGCGAGGGCAGAGGCAGTAGCGAAACGCCTTTGTCCTTGGTTGACCTTTACGTGCCACTTACGCCAGACCTTGGTAGGGGCGAACATACGACCGGAACGACACTGGTTACCGAAAGCTGCCTGACCAGCACGGTGGGTACCACCACCAGAGACACGAGGGATACGGGCAACAGCACGACCTAAGGTTTATTAGCTTCAAATAGAGAAAATTATATATCTGGCGAAGTGCTGGGAGTTGTGAAATCTCCAATTCGACCACTCTGCGAGTCTAATTCCAGCTCCAATTCTATAAGAAAGAAATGACCCACCAGTTCCCCAAGACTCAGCAGAGGTTTGATGTCCAGCCTTCTCACTCACAGCATATGGCTGCCTCTTGTTCTTAGCCATTCCGGTGTGGACCTGCTGAACGATATCCGGTCGGATGGGGGACTTGAAAACAGCCGGGAGAGTAGCGGTGGTTCCGCAAGCGGCACCATCGGCGCCATGAATGGAGACGGTCGGACGAGTCGTCTAAAGAAAGGTTTATACAGCATTAGCTTTCCCAATAATCCATTTCGTTTCCGCAAATCCAACGAATTTCGTAAAAAATATGATTTTTTGACTTTGTAAGGAATTCCTTCAAAACGAGGATTGAAAGATGGAAACTCAAATAAGCGTAGGTGACTCACCATTGGGTCGTTTATTATTGATCTTTGGCGTTGTTAGTGATGGGTTTCCGTCGATAAATCTGCTTGGGCGGGAATACCGATTGCAATAATTTCGCTACATTGCTAGGGTTTGCCTACTCAGTGTGTTGACGGGACTGTTTAGGGTTTGCCCTATCTTGGCAGGACCATAAGTACATGTAACCATATATGATATCCCTCGTGCACAGTACGATCTTCCACCATGGCGGATGCGGTAGAGAACGATATTGATGCCTATTATGACCCATATGATAGATACTGTACAGTACATGTCCGTTTTTTGTTCTGAATTCCATATACCGTACAGTCCCTTCTATATCATAGGCTAGTCTGGTTAGATATGTGCCAAGACTATGTAGAGCTTCAATTCATGATCAGGGCCTGTCCGGTCAACTAGGGATTATTTTCTTCGGCTTATGTATTTGAGAAATCGGTCAGATTGATTATCTACCTGGAAACTAAGGGCCTATTCGGAAACCCAATAATCTTATAATATCGATTTTTAGATTATTGAAATAATCTATGCTATTCCGATTATCCCAATGATCCGCCAAGAAGACAATCGTCTTCAGAGGAAAAACAAAGTGTAATCCAGACAGAAACTGTTTCGCTCACAGCTCTACAATTTAGAGTTTTCGTGCATATGTAGGGTTAATATCATTGGCACCGGTGAAGAGTAGCTCCAGACTTCTCACAAACGCGCCGTTGTCTACATATAGTAGAGTACATACAGTGCCATAGCTTTCGAATTCTATGGTAATTATAAAACTCCGACCAGGGTGCAAATAATGTTACAAAACATACCCAATTGTTGTCTGATTTCCACTCTATGTAGTTTGAAAGCTATTGGAATTTACTTATAATTAGTTAAAGTCTATATCTGTTCGAAGCAAACCTAATTTGTCAAATCGACCTGGTATTAGAAATCGTCAGGGACTGGACCGGTACTGTTTTCATGAAAACGAATGCGAATACGGCACTACAGGGTTACATGTATGTAATTCAATTCTCCAAGTTGTACGAGTACGTACGTAGAGTAGAGCCCTGTGGTTCATTCCAGACTCCAAAGCCCAGAAATCACGACAGATGGGTCGTCGTTATCCGATTATGATCTGACTTCAGTTTATAATTTTCAGGTCAACATTCGACGGGATCTTCCACAAAGAACAAAGAAGCTATTTCTAGGGCGTAGAATTAGGGGTTGGGATAATTGGACCATGAATAAGCATGTTTTCAGGAGCAGAAAGTGTCGTGATGGGACGCCGCGTCGGATGTTCTATCGAAGAGATGGATCGCGTTTTTGTTGGCCACTAACGCGGATCTGAGCGGGAATTGCAGTTTCCGAGTCAACCCAAAGTGGCACCACCTGCCCCCCTTCGAGAATCACCCTTTTGGGAGGCTCCTTTCTCCTTACAGTTGCCACAACCAATCAACAGGGACCAGGGCCCCGGCAGGTTAAACTCCACACAGTTGTTGGTAAGGGAGGTGGGTGAGTGGTGGCTGCTAAAAGGCTCCATCTTCCGCCGTTTTTCCCTTTCACTCTTGTTCCTATCGTCGCTATCAAGTGCTACAGGTGTCCTGTTTGAATTCTCATCATTCAATTCTGAGGACCCTACCATTGATTCTTTCAGACAGTTGGCAGTCATGTTTGTTTACCTTTCCGCGGTTTATCTTATCAATAGTTCTCTCACTAACCAACGCCCCCTTTTACTCCTAGGTCGAACTTTACAACGATAATGCCCGATGGAGGGAACTACTGGCAAACTTATGAGAAGATCGGAGAGTACAATGTGCACCTGAACACATTTGAGCGTCTATGGGCCGCATGTTAGTATCTCCCGCCGATACTGGTGTTCTGAGACTGATTTGCTGAATCTTACGTACAGGGTATCAATTCATGGGCAACGATGTTCTCGCGACTGGTATCATGTCGTTCGTTCTTCATGAAGTGATCTACTTTGGACGGTCGCTTCCCTGGATCATCATCGACGCAATTCCGTACTTCCGTAAATACAAAATTCAACAGGTTGGACCAATTGGCTATTTTTCAACGAAACATTGAACCTAATAATCTTGTTTAGACAAAAATCCCCACTGCGGAAGAGCAATGGCGATGCGCAAAGCTAGTTCTCCTCTCTCACTTTACTGTTGAGCTTCCACAGATATGGCTTTTCCACCCCATGTGCAAATACTTTGGCATGGATACCGGAGTTCCCTTCCCTTCATGGACTAAAATGGCCTTCCAAATCGCCATCTTCTTCATCATGGAGGATACATGGCATTACTGGTCTCATCGCGCGTTCCATTGGGGACCACTCTACAAACATGTCCACAAGATCCACCACACCTACGCTGCCCCATTTGGTCTTGCCGCCGAATACGCATCGCCCATCGAAGTCTTGTTCCTCGGTATTGGAACAGTCGGTTCTCCTATTTTGTGGTGTATGATCTTTAAGGATCTCCACATTCTCACCGTTTACATCTGGATCACTCTGCGTTTGTTCCAGGCCATCGATGCTCACTCCGGATACGAGTTCCCATGGAGCTTGCACCATTTTCTTCCTTTCTGGGCTGGTGCCGAACATCACGACGTGCATCATGAGCGTTTCATTGGCAACTATTCCAGTTCTTTCAGGTGGTGGGACTATGTTCTTGATACCGAGGCTGGACCCGAGGCTGCCAAGCAGCGCAGAGAACGCAAGCTGGCCAAAGAGGCAGCCAAGTCGAAGAAGGCCCAGTAAATCGCTGCGATGGGCGAATGTTTCTAGAATTTGTAGCCGTGATGGTGGGTGGAGTGCAATAATGTAAATGATGGGTACTTACGTGGAATTGTTGGGATCTGTACAGGCTTGTTCAGGTCACACGGGGGCGAGGTTCATGCGTAGAACAGGGTTAATAATGGTACACTACAGCCTTGGATATAATACTTGTGATTAGTTGGGTTCTTTCATTGTATTTTCTTAGATTTCTATGGTTAAACGGTGTTCTGATTTTTAATGAGCTCTTTGCTCTCGTTTTAAATGACATTGCGAGTTTACTTTAGCCTATCAGGTCAATGTGGATATGACATGCTGTGTATGGCTCATAAGTTCATGTGGTTTAGTTGCTGCATCTAACTGGTCGAGTGATTTCCGCTTCAGAAGCAATACTGGATATCTCAAAGTTATGCGTACCCTACTCTTTATTGTATGTTTGATTATGATATATATCAGTAATTATTGGCACATCTGGGATTGTTTATGTAAGCACCAGTACGGCAATAGTTATGCTGTATTATAGAGGTCGCAAACATAGAAACGAGTGGCACTGATATCTCAACTCAACTCGGGCCGAGATAAGAGGGTCCGAGATTGAGACTCTCAGACGGCAAGCCGCGTTGTTGCACTCTACATGTACTTAACTAATCCGGTCTCGGCTAGTTAAAATAGAAATAACGTAAGCTGAGGGTTAGGGTGTAATGTCTGAGCCGCAACCAAACTTGCTTCATCTCCGGTACGAAGTCAGTCCCTAAGCTCTTCAGCTCTTCCACGAAATCGCCCCTTCTTCTCCTTTTCACCAATTCCTGTATACAAGCCCCAACACGATTCTATGAGTACGGTACTGGTCTCCCACTATTGAAGCTACTACTTTGTTCTTTGGTTTTTACTAACAGAGCTCCTGAATCATAGGTAAAAGCAAACAACTACCTTGGTGTCCTAGACGCAGCTCGCTGCAATGGCGAGTGGGATGGCATTCCAGAGCATGCCCGAAAGGTTCAAAAACATGCTCCCGGAAGAAAATGTATTCTTCAATGTTTCCCCTCATCTCCGCTAATCTCCTGAAAGCTCTTCCCAGCAAGTGTATACTAATGTGGACTATTTAGGCCTCGCTCTGACCGCCTCGACCGAAGCAAAACTTTATCGCCTTCCTCACCTTGGAGTAGGGTCTACGGCTGACGCTATTGCAAACTACCACGCAACCCTTACAGCTCTACAAGGTCCCTTACAGGCAGAGCTGGACTCCCATTCAAATGTTGCAAGCCTACCTAGTCCCTCCGGGGGTGCTCACAGCATGGTAACAACCCCCGATGATATACTGCAAGCACGAACAATCCTTTCATGGCTCTATTCTCGGAAAGGGGACTGGGAAACTGCTTTGAGGATCATACCCGGTGAAGATGAGGTTGGGGAAAGTTGGGTTGGTGGGGGAAAGGGGGATTACATTGGTGTGATTAGGATAAAGGCACTCGTGCTGAAAGGTTTGTCAAGCTGTGTTGCCTAGTCTCTTACTAGGACTGGAACTTCCGCTAGATTAGATACTTATTATGCCTTAGGGATTGCTCTGGCCCATCAAAGCCCCGATGATCTTTCGTTACCACTCCAAAACTACCGCGCAGCGACAAAACTTCCGGCAACATACACGCCGGCACAACAGACATCGGCTTCATTTCTGTTGTGGACGGAGAAAGCACTTTCTCACCACGCTCTTACAGCTTACAGCTGCTGGCTTGATAATCACATTCTTCCAGGTACTATCATATTCCCCAGATGGTATTGTCGGACTCTGAACAAACTCTAGGGGAATCGAGCGAAGGCGAAGAAACGCCAGAGATGCAGGAATACGTAGCTCAAGAAGTTGGAATGGCTGATGGTAGAACAACAATCGATGAAGCTTCTGTTGCAAGGGCATTCAGGAGTTTTCATCAGTTTGTCGCTGGCCTTTCATCCGCTGCACAGGTACAAATTGGGCCTGTCGGTACTGTTCCGGCGGCTACAGAGAGTGGCTTAAACACAGAAAAGGAATTGGAGAGAAGGGAAGTCTACAGAAATTACTTCAAGTTTATCTCACTCCTCCTCTTACCCGAAGGTCACCCAGATCGGCCAATTCCTCGGAAGCTACCATCGTTTAAACCTGAAGCAGGAAGAACTATTTCTGTTGTGCCTACAAACAGCCCACCAACAGGAATGATGCACAAAGCGGGGACGGCCGAGGTATTAAAAGCAGAACTTAAGGTTGTGGAGCATGTTTATGAAGAATACTTGCTGCGTGGTCTTAACTTTCCCAGGGCCGATGAGTATCATGGGGCTATAGGCGAATGGGTTGACCTTGTTGTACAGGACTGGAGGGTTGCCGGTGGCTCTGGAGAGGAGGCTCCGGCAGTAGTAGAGATTTTATATAGGGCTGCCACGAAGACATTCCATTCACCGAGAATATTAAGGCATCTCTTCACTGCTCTTACAGCAGTAGGGAATTTCCCAGATGCTGTGAGATCTTTGGATACTTACGTTGATTTGGTCCAGAGAGCCAAAGACAGGATTTCGAAAGGGCATATAGAAAAGGATATCGACGACGATAAAACAATTCTTGAAACGACAGTTGAAGGGATCCGTGTTCTTTGCGGGCTCGTAGGTGATGCTGGGAAGGGAATGGCTTTGGCCGGAAGGATCGAAAGATGGATTGACGAATGGCGAGTAAGAGATGATGATATGCTCGCGTCTGTTTACAGAGGCATTGGGACTGCAAATGCGACCTGGGCACGACATACTATCGATGGAGACAGTAGACCGGATATACAGAGAGCAGCGGTGAGAGCTTTCGAGAAGGCATTAACACACGATCAGTTCGATATTGATGTGTGGTATGGACTGGCTCTCGTCCAGCTAGAGGTAGGAGACATCGATTCGGCAATGGAGAGTACCAAAAAGGGCTTGGTCATCGTAAAATACCTCACGGAGGAGGAGTTTGATGATGCCTGGGATGGAAGACGGGATTATAAACGTCGCACGGTGCCTCTATTACATCTATTATCACTCCTGATGACTGTGACGGAGAATTTTGAGGAAGCTAGACAGGCATGTGCAAACGTTTTTGAAATACTGGGAGAAGATATGTCGGTGTTTAGAGGGATGGGTATCGGTGAAAAGGAGAGTGTTCTCGAAGTGAGAATGACTCAAATTGCCATAGAGGAAGCTCTAGATGGAGTTGGAGTTGCGGTGAAGATGGCCGATCATCTACTGGATATATATGGACGCCTGTTTGAGGCAGCACAGCTGGACCATAGCTCCCGGTCCTTGCATGACAATGGTCAGTTGGATAATCCCCCGCCCACCCGACCAAATACCACAAATAGGAAGCCCCGGCTCCTAGGAGGCAGACGGAAAAGCATGTTTTCTACCACTGTATCAAGCTTACCACCGGAGGAATTCATAGGAGACTCTGGAAGCATTCGCCCAATATCAGGTCATCAATCCTTGCGACAATCTACCGGTCTCGGCCCCGGCCCTGATGCTCCCCAAATACAGGTTACAGATGTCCATGGAGGTGCCTATCAAAACGATAATCTACTAAAGAAAACTGGACGCCCTAGTAGTGTTTCTAGCGGGACAATTAGACGAATGAAGTCATTTTCGAGTATGAGGTCGGGCAAAGGAGATCATGGGCGAATGCCCATTCCAGACGTTCCCACACCGCCACTACCTAGCGGTACAAATACTTCCTCGGCAAGTGTTGAGCGAAGTCCGGCTGGGAGCGTCAAGGAGAATCATCACCACAATACCCACCTTTTTCAAATGCTTAAGTTGAAGTTGCACAAACATCAATTACAGGATATGGGTACTGCTGGATCTTCCTCTGAACCGTTGTCCCACATCGGATCCACTACATCATTCATGACTAATGATAGTTCAATCACCCCAATGGACAGTGCTACAGAGGGTCACATGGGAAGAGAAGCTCCACGAGCAGAAGACATCCCGAACAACCTTTCACAAAGCAAGTTGCCGTACCCAATACGTGCATTGCGGAGCGGAATAACAGATGAGATTGGAAAAGATGCCAAGCCACGGAGCATTAGGCGACCGAAGCAACTCCCAGAGCCAAAGCTCCATGAAGAGGATGAAAAAAGAAGGGCTTTAGCGGCTTTAAGGAAAGTCTGGATTTTTATTGGAGGTTTAGCTAGGAGATCAAAAGATTTTGGTGGTGCCACTTATGCTCTTGACGAGGCTAGTGCTTTGATTGGGCTGAAAGGAGAAGGTGAAGCAGATGTTTTGACAGAGGTAAGGTTCTTGATTACTCTTATAATAAATCCTCAGTAGCTAATACTCAACACAGAGGGGATTCTTGGCAATGGAAGAGGAGAAAAAAGCTGTGGCTATTGAGTATTTTAATGCTGCTATAGCGCTTGAGGTCAACCACCCACTTGCCATCGTGGGTCTTTGTCAATTGCTGCTCCAAATTCCTGCCACACCAACCCCGATTCCTGTAGTAACTCCTGCAAATAACATGGTTGATGTAGCGGCCCGACCCTCCACCTCTTCTTCTTCAGTGGTAGCAGCAAAGTCGCCAAATAACAGTGTGTCAGAGGATGAATTAAATCTCTCTTCTCTTGCTTCGATTAATCGTGCACTCGGCCTACTGGAGCACCTTACAGCTACAAGTCACGGCTGGGATATACCAGAGGCATGGTTTGCACTCGCTAGTGCCTACGAGCTTCTTGGTGAAATGGGAAGAGCGAAGCGTTCGCTGTGGAGGTGCGTCGAATTGGAGGATGCAAGAGCTGTGAGGGCATGGTGCAATCTCAAGCCCAGAGTTCTTTAGACATATATTTGAACTTCGTGTGAGGGTACACAACGGACATTGATGGAACATTATATCAATGGATTTTGGGTTTGTTTTTGCGGGTAGCGCGGTTTGTAATCATGTCAAGCTTGATTCTTTATTTTTATCGATGGCTTTTTTTTTTGGTGGACGCCAGGCATAAAATCGATACCAATTTTGTAATTTTGTTTTTTGGGAAATTAGATTATTGATTATTAAATTTTTTATGAAGACAATCTACTATAAACTACTCTACCTGTGGGTACAGTACTGTACAGTCAGTACCTTTTCTGCAATTCTAGACTGCCAGCAAGTAATATGTAGAGTAGGGTAATTATCCCCTACCATCACCCGGCCCTGCAACACTGCCCAAGCCACTCGAGAAAAATTCCCCATGGAAAAGTTTCCAATTCGCTGAATTTCCCAGGCAACCATACCATTATTTCAACAATGGCGAAACCAAAAAGCAAACTGGTATATTTCCTTAGTTCCTATCAATTTGACTCACTCATTCTTACTAGAGCTCTATTTTTAATTGTTGACTTGAAAATTTGTAGAAAAATGCACTGAACAGACAGCTGGGGAAAGACCCAATCCGCGACAAATTAAAGAAAATATCGAGGAGACAACCAAAAAAGCGAGAATCTATCGGCGATGAAAAGAAGGAGGTAGAAGAATGGGAGGATGCCGAGGAAGAGGACGAGGATGACGAGGAGATACCAGAACTTGTCGATACTAGTAAAAATACCAGCAAGAAATCTGCCGCCGCCGCCGAGGAGAGTGAAGACAAAGACGAAGAAGAAGAAGAGGAGGACGACGACGACGACGAAGATGACGAGGACGAGGACGAGGACGACATTGCGCTCTCCGACATCGACGATGACGATCTCGAAGTCCCCGACCTCCTCCCCCATCAAAAGCTCACAATCAACAACCACTCGGCACTTACCCAGGTCCTTGAGCGCATCGCTCTTCCACTATCGTCTCTCCCATTTGTCGAGCACCAATCTGTCACCACCGATGCTCCCGTTGAGATCAAGGACGTCGACGACGACCTTAACCGCGAGCTCACATTCTACAAGCAAGCGCTTGACGCCGTCAACATCGCACGAAAAAAGCTTACTAAGGAGGGTGTACCATTCTCTCGTCCAACAGACTACTTTGCGGAAATGCTAAAGGATGATGAGCACATGGGCCTAATAAAACAGAAGCTGTTGGATGAGGCGGCGAACAAGAAGGCAGCCGCTGAGGCGAGGAGGCAGAGAGATCTGAAGAAGTTCGGAAAGCAGGTGCAGTTTGCGAAGCTGGAGGAGAGAAATAAGGCAAAGAAGGACACTCTGGAGAAGATCCAGGTTCTGAAGAGGAGTGAGTGTGCTTTTATTTTTTTCATAAAAGGTGTAATTATCTTACTGACTGATTTTATTTCTTAGAACGACAAGGAGCAGACACAGAGTTTACAAACGAGTCAGACATGTTCGACGTTGCTCTCGAAGATGCCGTAGCCTCTTCTGGGCGAAAAGACAAGAGGGACCGAGATGCGTCCAGAGCTTCAAGGGCAAAGAGGCAAAAGAAAGACCAGAAATACGGGCATGGGGGAAAGAAGAGGTTTTCAAAGAGCGGCGATGCCGAGTCAACCGCTGACCTGAGTGGTTTCTCGGCCAAAAGGAATAAGTCGAGCTTCGCAGCCGGAAAGAAGAAGCGGCCAGGGAAGAGCAAGAGGGCTAATGCAAGATAATTTTCTGTATGGCAATGAATGCCTTTTCTTGTTTTGTTTCTATATAATTACGGATTGTTCTGGAATTGTGGATTGTATCATACAAATAAAAAGTTGAGCTTAAGGTAACTATCTGAACTGTCATTGGCTTTATCCCTCACGCCGGGGGTAAGAATCCTGCAAATAAAACACTCTGGATAATCCCATAAAGCACCATGTACCTCACGACAAACTTTGTCCAATCCTTTCCCTTAACCTCTTCCGCCGCTCTTCCGGCAGACATCTGGTACGCAACCCACCAGTACCAAACCATGTAACCGCTACTGATCCTTGTTATGATCTGAACATGATATGTTACAATAGCCATCACGGCCAGTAGCAATTGCGGAAATGCTAATTTGCGAAGAAGAGTTTTGTCAAAATCGATAGACTGTGTACCGGCTGTATTTTTGATACCGATACCCCATACACCAGATACAATCATAAGTGTTAGCATCGGGGCCGCTAGCAGGAATAGTGGAACATTCGGGAGTGTCCAGTAACGAAACATTCCAACATCCCTAAAATTTCACGAATGTAAGTCAAGGCTTAAAGTAACGGACGTGAGGATAAGCATACCAGTAGTAATCCTGAACATAGAAATAAATACTAGGGAAGGTGTTTGAGCACCACGGTCTATTACTCCCCGCTGTGCAGTAGTCTTTCCAAGCAATCGCTTGAGGCAATACAAGTCCCAGGGCAATAATCAAGCCACCGGCTCCCAAGATACCAATTCGGAATAATCTCGAAAATAGCGTATTTGATTTTCCATTTGCTCCGGTGATCACACCATATATTTGGAGGATGAAATCATGCAGGAAAAATATCCCGTTGAGAAGCCCGTTGCTACGGACCATGCACGAAAGGCCAAATATGATAGCACTTGCTAGGGCAGCAGTGTTGCTTTGGAAAATATTCCCAGCTTCAAGCTCCCTACCTGACCAGAGGTATAGAAAGCTCCCTGTAAACGACAATAGCGAAAAAAGACTCTCACTGTACGGAGCCGAAAGAAACAGCCCAGCAGGGGAAACAACATGGAGACAAGCCGTAATGAACGCCATCTTCTCTGCGCTCCCGGCCGGTGTCTCAAATACCAATAAGGTTGACTTATACAGTACTAGCGTCGACAGTAAATGCGAAATGTTGGATATGAAGATTCCACTCAGGGCATGTAGGTATGGTGGCTGTAACCCGAATGTAATCCCGATAGACGACAAAACTATTCAACTCCAGATCCCAAGCTCCGGGCAACGATTAGACTTCAATCTTCTAGGTCTGATGTGTTTTCAGTGAGCTAGATACCTTTCTCGAGCCCAGAGACGACTTGTACGTATCCCCACCCAAAAGCCCATTCTTGCTCATTGGCATATCCCCTTTCAGCAGCTTTCACAAAATATATGGCGTCCCATCGTGTTAGTTTAACACACAGGTTCTCAATGAGTGTCGACCCGGAACCGGTTTTATTCGTTCCTAAGATCAGGGAGGTTGATGTGTCGTATGCCGGAGAAGGAGTGATGAGAGCAAGACCTATCAATAGGAACTTCCAGGCAAAGAAAAATAAGAAAATTCTCAGATATGCACTGCCTCCTTGCTTTCGACCCCGTGGTTGCTTCATTGTGCGTGGTTTGTTGATCGTTGGTTCGTCTGGGGACGTGTATTTAGAGTTGCGTCACATGATCGAGGCTCTACTAGTAGATACAGGGTTGAAGGCGATACTGTGATTCGATCCCAATTGAAACATTTAGAACTTTGATCAAAAAGATAGTGGCGAGAAAGTAATCGTGTAGAATCTTAGCTTTCCTAACATTATTACTCAAAGACTACCACATGCCCCCTGCACTTATCTATTCAAGTTATCGATAATTGATTTGATAATTGATAATTCCCTCTAAAATACAGTACAGCGAGAGATAGAGTATTCTAAAAACAGGGGTCTGAAAACTGGGTTTGTATGGCAAGTCGGGCCAATAGGAATCCTCCCATATTTTTAATAAGTAGCTTAGATCGATCCTCAACTACTAACAGCACTTTGCCTCCATATTGCCATTGATCCCACCTCCTCCGGGGTGCCTTCCTGTCCGTGATATTCTAGAGTAGTTCGATATTTGATATCTATATAATATAGTTAGGTGTGGGTAATATTGATGTTTGGGATCAGGAACAATACATCACAAACCAACACATGCAGTTATCTATCTAGTCGAGACTGCTTACCCATTCAACTATTTAACCCCGTACAAAAAAAAGAAACCAAAATACTATCACTCCCGCCGGGAGTCTTGATACTCTACACTCCAATAAGCCCGGAATAGAAAACGAACAAGAGAGACCAATTCAACAGTAGGGAGAGCAGGTAAAAAACAAAAACAAGCAATTAACCCAGTACTACATGTACTCAGAATCAAACAAAGGGTAGAAATACTTGTGTATTCAAAAGAAGCCAATGGTAGTCATATATAAAATTAACGAAAGCACCACAAACAAAAAACAAAAATCGCCAAATCTTGATCCCCACGACCGTTCTTAAATCCTTACGCCCGTCCATAATCACCTACAATTCCCAATTATGTCGACATCTCCATATTCATCAAACGTGACTTCTTAAACCTTTTAGGTTCGTCACGCTTATTGATTCGGGTCCCTCCACTTCTGAACTGTCAAAGTGGTCGTATAGGCCATAACACAGAACCCAAACACAACCAGCGACATATCTGCCACCTTCATGAAACGACTCGTGTCATAGGCCCTGCTATGAAGCAGCGGTGGGTAAATATACACCAACGGGATGCACGCGAAACTTCCAATGAGGGCAACAAATTTGTCAAGATCATCCGCGCCACCCCATGCGATAAGGGCCGTAACAAAGACAGTGATGAAGCGAAATCCATTCTTTTGCCATTTGACAGTGGTATTGTTTTTTCCGCTACGAGGAAAGAGGCCGGTTTCCATAATACGAATGGCAGGGAAGAGCTGTAGGGGCGTAGAGAGGAGAATGGCAAGTGAATATAGGAATTGGACGCTGTGATATTATGTATTAGTTTTGCTCAAAACTATTCATCAAGAAGGGATGGAGGGGACTAACCCGTTGACAAACTTGTCATCCTGTGGTAAGTTTAGGATGATCACGGTCTTAGTATTGCTACCATATGCGGCGTAACTGAACGCTCCCATGCTAAGGAAAATAACAGTTATGATAACCATAACACCTCCCAATACTTTCGGGAACTTCTCGGGCCTCTGCATGGTCTCCTGAATTGGGATGATCAATCCAATACCTTCGAACGTAAAAATTGCTGTTCCAATAAACAATGTCCAGTTTTCAGAATTGAACGAAACGATGTCACTGACACCCTCTGATGCCAGAGTGAAGAAGTCGTAATAGTAAAGGTAGACAAGACCAAGCATAATGAAGAAATCGGCAATAAGAGCCGTGAATCCAAGTTTCGCCATGTCACGGATCATCGACATTGGGAGGAAGACCACCAACTGGAGCAGGATAAGCCATTTTATGTCAAGATGCATTTCCCCTTTAGTGACCGCATAAATAAAGGCCTGAAGATTCTCTCCGGTAAAGACAATATAGGCAGCGGCAAACCCAATTTGGGATACGATAATCGAGGATAGAATAGTGAGTCGCATCTTGGGACCGTATAGGATACCCCCGATATCTGCATTTTGTCAGCATAAATAAAAATAAGAGAATATAGAAAGACTCGAACCTCCAAAACTTCCGGCTATCTTTAGACGAGTTCTTACCAACAGCACGAAGCAGTAGTAAGACAACAGTGCTGTCAAGAGGAGAACAATGTTGGAGAATACCATCCCACCGTTTGAATAGCTGAAATTCTTGTTAGACTATTCTTCCATTCTTTCCTCGACAGATGTGAACTCACGCTTTGGGCAGAAATAGCACACCAGTGCCAACAAAACTCTTTAACAGCAAAAGTGCTGCCTTTCCAGACCCCGCCGTTCCTTGGTGAGAAATACTTTTCCTTCGCGCGGTCCTTGGTCTTCCAAGTAATGCACTCCCTTCCTCGATGCCATCGGGGATATCATCTCTCCCGCCTTGTTCGATCAAGGCTTCATCACTCGTCCACCCCTCCTCATCCTCTTCCTCCAAATCTTCACCGGCAAAATGCCCGTGCAATGTCAAGAATTCGATGAAGTTTCTCGTTAAAAATGGTCGCCTAATCGGCATTGCATGTCCGTAACTGTGCCCAGGCGCAGGACTAGCACCCTCCACGCGACGGATGTAATTTCTTCTAAACCCACCGATTTGCTTGATATTACTGATATTTAAAGTATCATCATCTGGCTCAGGACGCGGAACATGAAAAGACCGCGAGCGACTCCGGCGGCCGCCATTATTCTCAATACTCTCTACATAACGGTAGATCGGACGTGTTATATCCCCACCCTGAAGCTGCAATGACGAAAACTCCGTATCCAAGACTCCTCCACTCGCTTGGCCAAATGCCGGCGAATTTGATATGATATCGTCGGTGACTAGATGCCGTCTCACAACCTCTGGGTCTTCTACCGGCTGCCGGGAGTCAAAGGATCCATATATACTCTGTGCTCGGGAAGGCGATTGTGGAGGGTTTGCGGAGCTAGGGATATTCACTCCATAATTCTGGGGAGGAGGTGTGCCGAACCTAGGCGGTGTCCCAAATCTGGTTGGCGTACCTAGACGTGGAGGTGTCCCAAACCTTGGAGGCGAGCCACTACCGCCTGGAAAGTTGTACTGAGATAAGGGATTCTGCATTACTGAGGCAGGCGAGGCTGGACGAGCTCCCACGACAGTTGCTGGGAAGCCATGGCCAGGTACTGGCGAACCAAGGCGGACGGTTGCTTGAAGTCGCGGTGTAGTTGGACGAGGGCCAGGAGATGAAGGTCGCGGGCTAGGAGCTCGCTGTTGCGAGGCCGAGCTAGACTCGGGTTGCTGAGAATGCGACATCTACAATATTTGACGTGTTTGGAAATAGAGGAGGAATGTAGGAGCTGTGTATATAGGAGGTCAAAGGTGAAGGGAGTAAGGAGTGAGGCTAGGGGCAATCTTTAGAACAGTACCTAAGCCCTGCACGCAGTTGATTCTGCACAAAGGAGGAAGAGGAGGAAGAGGAGGAGGTTGGTGGTCATAAGGTCCATTACTGCACTCTCGCTCACTGCACCGCCAAGTCTTCTGACCACAAGCTTACACAGGCACTCAGAAAGGCTGCAGGTCAAGCCCTGGGAGGTCACGATGGATATCGGATGAGAACATCCTGCGATAATGAATACATATTATGTACCTACATGTATGTAGGTACAAGTAATCGGGGAAACCCCCTCAGTTAGATACGACTCTGCAGATAGATATTTTTCTCCACCTACGGCCAGCCCTATTACTGAAATCAATTACGCCTTTTTCCATATGCTTAAAAGTCCGATTTCAAACAAGATCGTGATCTGAATCCAACAAAACAATAAGGAAAAAACAATAATATGTGTACGCAGCCATGGGGGTTCTTGCATCGGCCCGTTGCGTCAAACGCGCTCTTTCGTCCGCTTCCAGCATATTGGTCTCTCAAACCCAGTTAAACAAATCGATGATCGAGTGTCGGGACGAGGAGGAGCACCCTGTTGAGGTCCCCGGTTGTAACCGAAATCCTTGGCATGCATTTCTCCAGAGTCTGGGCGGCGAGTGATGGCGCATGCAGATACCATGATGGTGATGGGTGGCACATGCAGGTCCAGAGACCAACAGCATCTCTTGCCCTGAACCTGGACCTCTCCAATGGAAAGAGAGAGGGGCAAAGAAAATTTTTTCCGAAGTAAAAAAAAACCAGTCTATGGTTGAATTTATTTCATCGCGCGACGGTATGTCCAATTAACTCCTTTTATGTAACCACATGCTGGCCATGTAGAAAAACGGAGGATCAACATCCTTATGCGAGGAAATTTTTTACTCTTCCCCCTCGTGGATCCAATCACGTATGATCACTCGTGCAATGAAATTTGAAGAAGTTATGGTACCGTCAGATGGAAAATAGTGTGAATATGACAGAGAAAAGATGGGAGGAGCTCCTTCAAGCTGAGAAATATTACCATATCCATAGGGCTAACTCTTTAGGAGATGCCGGTCCAAACAAGTAACTACTAGCTCACACCGCATATGTAATTACAGGCGAGTAAATATGCAAGTAATACAAGATAGGTTTGTGGTTCAACGCAAGCTAATCTCAGCGGTTTCATCTAGGCACCAGGTACAAATCTCGGGTGGCGCTTTATTAGGCCGGCATCGGTATCCATAGGATGCCCAAGCTCAATAATTTATTTGCCTATATATTATGTAGTGGAATCTACTGCTACATGCCTTCCCTAAGAAACACAAACTCTGTCACCAATGCCCTTGGCAATGATATCATGGGTCATTTAACCTATCCCTGTAGGTATGTGGTTCATGTATGTATTGATCTACTCGTAGTTTTTTGGCGTTTCCGGACTGGACTGGGTCTGCATACCACCGAAATATGCTTGTCAAGCACGATTTACGCCCATGTGCAGACCCAGTCCGTTCCAAAAACGTCAAAAAACTACGAGTACCATGGTTGTACTCTACTTCTAAATGCAGTACATACCTCATGTAGTTAATAGTGAAGTTGATTAACCAAGACTTTTGCGAACAGGGAGACGACAGAAGAGAAGGGAAGATTCATTACAACATACAAGAGAGTTTCGACATATGCCCACTGTCTCAGTCTAAATCCATGGCTCTTCGGCAGGCTGTCAATTATATATATATATCTACATACTCACGCGTTAATAATTAAAAGGTCGGGATTCGGTGTGGGGATTTTATTACAACGACTTCCAACCTTTTAATTAACGAGTGAGTACTAGTTGGAAGCGGTAATAAAATCAACGTTAACTTTGACCTCAAACCCACGGGCAACAAAATTCGTTGTCAGGCCGTTATCCTCAGATAACGGTTCTCTGGCTTGGGATGGCATTTCCTGTTTCTTAAGGTATTTATTGTATACGTAGAGAAAGAATAAACCCTCAACCCCGGAAGGCGCCTATGAGTTTTGACTTTTGGGACCAGTCTCGTGCCCATCCCTTGCGTTACATGTAAAGTACTACATGTAAGTACTACATGCATACAAATACTCGGTAAATTAGAGGAAGTGAGCAAAAACATAGATTAGTATCATGTACAGTTCACAGCGTTCCATGAACTGGAAAGAGGAATATATTCTGTAGAGTACTGCAGTGCATGTGGCGTAGGTGGGATCCAGATTGAATTGATGCAACCCGATTAATCATTCCCAATTCTCTGTGATTGGCCACAAATCGCAACCCAGTAGGGTACAAGGCTATGATCTTCATCATATAATGTAGTATAAATTAAAGGTAATATAGACAAGAATGGGGCTAGTTGAACCCTTATCTCCTGAAGGTGAAAACATCCCCTGTTAGTCAATGGATCATATATAAAGAATTGAAAGGAGGTTTTTCCGGTATGCCAAGAGTATATGGATATAATCAAGACCTCTCTATTGTTTGAATGTAGCGGTCAATTAAACAAGCTAGTATCAAACACTTCACGTAATGTGCATTGATATCCTTTCATAAACCCATGCCCACAAACAACAAATACCTCGATCACTTGCGAGTGATAGTTCATGATTAAGCTTAGATTCTCGATTCAGTCAGGATTGATTGATTGGTTGGTTACTTCATTAATTGTATGCAACCCGGAGGTTATGACAATATCTGACAAATCCAAAGACCCACAAAATAAAAATCAAGAAATAACATAAACCGAAATGTGTACGGAAATATTCCTGCCTTTTAACTCATTCTTTCCTTTTCCTTATGCAATTTCTCTTCTCCCCCCCTCAGCCCAATTTATTCTTCCCTTAAGTTGCCCCATTCCATTTCTAATTCTCTTGGTTCGCTTTGCGCACCGCTGTCCCCCTCTCCAATCGGTGTTTCCATCGTAGGAATGATCCAGTCAGGATTACACAATAAGAACCTAGTGATTAAATATACCCTGTAGAAATAGTGTTGACATAAACTCAATCTACAATCATTTGAACTCCAGCAAAAGAAAATAACAGCCCCCAGCTTGAACTACCAATAGATGATGTGGTTTATAGAGTTCTATAGTTGTCACTGTATCACAACCATTTCCGTTACATCTCGTGTCCCCTTTTTCATATTCTGACATAAATCACGGATCCGTAGGATTGCAGTTTCGAGTTCCCGGTAGAATTATTGTGAAAGTGAGCGCTAAAAGAGTGGGTTTGTTGGTCTGTGCTCGGAGTAAAAATCTTCCAAGGGCCAATAGGACTATCGGGTCAGGGAAAACTCACCTTCGCAATAATTCTACCGGAAACTGTAGAGTTTCTCCTTAGTTTTCCAAAGCCTCTCTAATCGTGGTGTCGGTTCCCATGACCCTGTACATGTATAGAAATTTTTTTCTGGGATTCCATGAAGCTCGTGCAACTGTTCCGCCCGATCATCGACTTCGCCTTCGGAATGTAAGATAAAAACTTTTGTGGGCCGTTTCTTTGTAATTGGATGTACATGTGCAAGAGCGTGACGTTGTTCATTGGTGTTCCAGAGTTTCTGGAGTAAAACGACGTAGTTTGCAGCGCTGACCGCCAGGCCCTCTGCACTTTCCGGGGTGAGGATGAATACGGCTGGGTTTTCATCATTGTGAAATTTCATCATTGAAAGGGCACGATGGGCCGCGATCCCGTCGATACCGTCTTGATGACAGTAGTACACTTCAAATCTATCAGAGTAATAGGTAGTCATCCACCACTTCACTAGCAGTACTTGCTCTGGTAATGGCGCAAATATGACAGCCTTATTTGTGACTGTTTTCTTATTTACCGGATTGCACAATATCGGAATCAAGTTTTCATGCATCCATCGAAAAACCGGCCCTCCCGACCAACACTCTCGCCCCCAGGTATCGCGGTGACCTTCTGTAGGGGTTCATCCATAAGGTTTGAAGCAAGAAGCCAGGCGCCAATTCCTGACGGCCAGTGGGTGGTTTTTCCTGTTATTTTTTTTTTTTTCTTTTCGATGAATCTTTTCAAGCGTTCCTTATAAGTGTGAGTAAATTCCAGTCGGACTTTAGTTACTGTCATCGGGGGGATATTGACAAGTGGATTACCACTGGTAGTTGTAGTTTGTGCGCATCGACGCAATGTCCAGGGCATAGCGCAAGCCTTTAAGATATTATATGATAACCTCCCGTCCGGGTTTCCAACGCTAACATTCTTGATAATCTTTGCTAGTCTGAGGCCCATGTTTTACGAACTCGGAGGAATTCGTGCGCGGAGGAAATAACCATTTCGACTGGGCGATCCAATCGTTGGTTGAACTATAAATTGGCGTACCACTTAACTGAATTCGATACGGCGCATTGAGATCTAAGAGTGCTTTGTAAATCAAGCTCCCTTCATCCATGACAGTGTGTGACTGATCAAATATAGCCATGCCAAATTCACATCCAGAAAGTTTTGTTTTACACCTCAGCTTATAAGTGTCGTAGTCAATCAAGTATATTATACTCTCTCGAGCTGAATCCTCATCGATAAGATTCACTTCGGCAGCTGTGGGGCACCATTCACAGATATACCGGATTACAAAATCGGTTCTCCCAGAAAGTCCGATATCACGTGATACCACCAACCAATAAGTTCAGTTGGAACGACTATTGGAGTTGGTCTACGAATGATATCCATGGTGTCAGCTAACAGCGGACATTGTGTGGCCATGTTCCTTAATTTACTACTGTGCCATGGAATTGTCTTGTTCACACCAAGTCTCAAAAGATGTTTGATATGAAATACCGCCCCAAGAGCGGTGTGAATTTTCCCTAAACCCATGTCATCCGCTAGCAACACGCCGGTAAGTTTTCCTTTGTTCATGAATCGCCCAACGATGAAATTAATACCATACACTTGAGAGGCGAAGAATCTTCTGCTTGGAATTCCAGGTATCTGATTCTTTTCGTTTACCTCATGTGACAGTTTCTCCAACTTAGTGGCACCGAGCCTCCCCATAGATGAAGTAAAAGCTTCTGTCGTATGGTAAAGTCATCATTCCAATTTTTCTCGATGTTATCCCGAAGGTCGAATAGTGACTTTGAATTCATTTCATGCGTATTTACACCAGCTTTTTTTGGTGCGCCGATCGCTTTCGTCCTTGCAGGGCCTGCTGCGGGAGGACGTTTTGTTTTTGGTATGGGCGCTTTTGTACTGACTCGTTTAGTGACAGCTCTTTTAGTATCGATATTTCCCTGAATCAGATTTGGATCTAATAGGCGGATTTAGCAACGCCCGAGCATGGATCGCTTGGGCAACAAATTGTTCGGGCCGTGACAAAGCACAAAATGGGGATTTAGCAAAACTGACTTCTAGGCCTGACATCACTCCATCGCCAACACCCAAAACCTGTGAGTGAGCCCTACTATTTGACAACTAGAGACACTAATTTTATCATAGATCCCTCAAGTTATTCACAAGCTTTAAGTTATTCACAAGCTTTAAGCTATCGCCATCAAAGTTCACAACCTTTCCATCATCACCAGTGCAGTCTCGTTTCGCATCGCCGTTTCGTTTCGTTTCTTCTGCTGCTACTGCTCCTGCTGCTCCTGCTGCTTCAGGCAAAGCATATACCTGTTTGGCATCACCACTACTGTTTGGTTTCTCACCGCCGTTTCGTTTCCTCGGACCGTTTCGCTGAATCGTTTCGTCCCGCCGTTTCGTCCCGCCGTTTCGTTGCACCGTTTCGTTTCCGGAGTCTGTTTCCCTCTGCTGTTTCCCTCTACTGTTTCGCTACTGGAGTTTGTTTCGCTCCGCTACTGGTTTCCTTTGGCTCGGCAGTCATGGAAGGAAACGCCAGTGAAATGGATTTGATTGTTGTTTCCAGTACGGTTGCTGTATCGGTAACAATGGTTTCAGTAATGATAAGTGAAAGACTACGGAGACAGAGAAGACAGAGGAGGAGGAGGGAAATGGAACAGGCTACTCGCTATCGGCCATCAATTGTATTCACTCGCTTTGAGTTTTCACTTGAAGCATGGACAGATGAGGTAGCGGATGAGTACTTTAGGTTCACAAAAAGGGAAATATACGAGATGCTGGAACAATTTAATCTTCAATCTGTTGTGTACCCAGCGCGATGCGTCTGTTCAGCAGAGTTAGCTCTGTGTATCACTTTGAGCCGGCTTTCCTCACCTTCTCGATACAAGGACCGCTTCCACCAGTTTGGCAAATCGCGGAGTTTTCAATCAAATATTTTCAATGCCGTTGTCTGCTACCTTGACTCTAGGTATAAAGTCAAGCTGCGGTGGGATGAGAGGAGGTTGACTTTGAACACTCTACGATCCTATAATAACGGTATCAAAAATATTGATGGGCCCGATGGGGTATGGGGGTTTGTTGATGGAACTCTTCGAACCATTTGCAAGCCAGAAGAAAATCAGAGAGTGTTCTATACCGGGTACAAGAAAGCTCATGCTTTAAAGTGGCAGGGTATAATGACACCTGATGGGTTGATTTCTTCTCTTTTTGGCCCCGTTGAAGGTAAACTTGGGGACTGGGTTTTGTGGAAGATGTCTGGTATCGAAGAGATATTAAGAATGGTTTACCAAAGGTTACCTCCAGCGGAGAGATATTATATCTATGGAGACCCAGCCTACAGTCTTTCCTACTCCGTGATGTGTCCCTATAAAGCATCAACAGCGCTCCCTTTAACCCTGGAACAAAAACTTCATAATGCCGCTATGTCTTCCTACAGAATAGCAGTTGAGCATGGATTTGGAAAGGTTGTCAATCTTTGGGGCTTCGTAGCTTATAAAAATGGATTGAGAATAGGGAAGTCTCCGGTAGGAGCTTATTATAATGCTGCGGTCCTACTTACCAATATTCATACTTGCTTTCGTGGTAGTCAAGTAACATCACAATTCAATGTTGCGCCCCCAGCCTTTAGGGATTATATTATGCTCTGAAAGATTATAAATGAATATACTAGTTTCCTTCATTCCTTTCTGCTAATTTGGATACATGCCCAAGTATTTGAGATAGTATGTCATCTCTTCTTACGTTCTGGGCTTCCAACAAACTCAATCTATTCTCTAACGCTTCGGTCTCTACCTTCCCCACTTGGGGCCGGTTGGCCAAATCTTGAATTGCTCCCGCCATTTGGTTTCCCATATTCATGACTGCGTTAACCAACTTTTCTGTATCTTCATGTCCCGCTTCTATTTCTTTTTCCAGCATTTCCGTTCTTTGTGTACCTTTGGATTTCTTGGTACGTATTTGTTGAATTGTATTCCCTTTCCCCTCTTCATCGACCATTTGTCTTTTAGCACCTTGAGCTACGAGTAAATTGGAACGTCGTTGTTCCGCTTCTGCCATTTCTTTATTGATTTCTTGTTGACTTTTGCTGGCGTCCAACTTCTCTTTCTCTAAAAAATTCAATCTCTCAATCCATTTATCGAGTGCTTGTGTAATTTCTGTATCGACTTGAGCGGTACCCGATTGTAGAAGTTCTGCTTCCACGTTGATCTATATTCAAATTCTAGTAAGATTACTATACTTTAATGTTAGAAATGAATAATTCACCTTTCTTGTCGAGACAAGACCCTTCACTGTTGAAGCAGGATCACGTAGCCGTTTGCCAGTTTCACGATCCAACAAAACAGCCATTTTTGCCCAAAAATCACCCTTCTTGCCTTCTATATACTCGGATTGATGTGACACGCAAAGACGAATCAGAATTAGTTGATCATCTTCTTCAAGTCTTGTGCGATTAGTTGATGGAGATTGCAATCGCCGGGTTGATGTAGTTTGTGAGAGAAGCGGAGACGGTGTCTGCGCAAGATCTAGAACTCCCGATTGCATATTGACAGAACTAAAAATTGTAGAAATTATTTGTTTCAAAAGGCGGACGATAAGGTGGTTGGGTTATTGAGAGAGATTGTGAATTTTTTTCCTTGTAGGAATCCACGCCACCTAATAAAAACCTTTTTTTTTTAGCCGACCACTTTTTTTTTTTACATAACTTAAGTTGGCTGCAGTCGAATCTGCTTGTTTAGATAACATTCGGCTTGTCTACATATATTTTCTAGCTGCTGTTCATGAGAAATATTTTTTTGAAAAAACTGAATCTTCTAGGCGGGTATATACCCGCCTAGGGTGAATTGAAAAACATTTGATTATACCCACTAAACTACATTGAGTGCCAAGAACGAGTTCTCTTGACCCAGAGATCCGTGCTCGGGCGTTGCTAAATCCGCCTAATAGGATCAGAGGAATGGGGGGGCCGGGGTCAGAATTTTCATCCTGATTAGAATCTACTAAAATTGGATCTTGAGTGGCGGGATGTTTCGCTAGTTTGGCCTTACTTAGGTCTTTTTCAGCTACAGATGCAACAGATATGTTTGTCAGATAGAGCCGAACAGCATGGTGGCTTTATAATTGACTAACCTATTAATTGATCAATCCTTGCTAGGATTTCGCACCGGTCGCCTTTGATTTTATCCATTTGGGGCTTTGTGAGATCTGAACTTATGACGGCGTTCAAATCTCTGATATTCCTTTTCAGTCTTGCCTCGTCCCCGCTCTCCTGGTCTTCCTCATCACTTTTCTCTTCCTTCCCATCTCTGTGTTTTGAGGTGGGTCCCACTTTCGTCCCCGTCTCTGTTATCACATGTTTTCCATCCTCCGCACCGACCGGACGCTGCACGAATAAACACATATCTAGATCCTTTACTTATTGTAGTTGCATGAACCACAGCGGCGTCCCAGCTCTCCTGGTCGTAGATATGGCTTATGCTTGGTGGAAGTTCGTGTTCGTATCTCATAAGTTCTGGATACTTTCTTTTTTCGATCTCTGCCTCATTCCACAGAACCAGGGGGCCATCCATCGAGGTATCTTTACGTATCCAGAAGACCAGTTGAGAAAAGTCTCAAACATCTCGATAGACTCGTAGCCAACGTTGATGAACGTCGGCAGAGCTAGACTGCCGTAAAAAGACACATTAGAGAGGGTCCTCGATTTGAGGGTATCTGAAATGGGGAAGTTTCGAGGATTTAGGAGCTTTTCGAGGGCGAGGATTTGAATTTTCATCAATTTCTTCCAGCTGAGGTGACCTGCGCTTCTGAATCGAGGGTTTATGAATAGTGGGAGAAGTTTTCTCGTCTGTTGCTGTTTGGGTAGGTTCGTCCTGTGTACTGGGCCTTGTTCTTGCCCATTTAGGGGTCTTGTCGACTGGTGTCGTTTTCTTTCTCCTAGATTCCATCAGAACTAATGAAGACTTGTTAGGATCATCAGAGAATATTTTTTGTGTTTACATTTGTAGGCGAAGAATTAGAAGGATTTGAATGTATACATTTATGTGCAAAAAGGGGGGGGGGGGGGGTTTCTCTTTGTTCTTTACCAGCATGGGCCTGGTACTACTAGTAATAGGGTTAGGGTTTCAGAAGACTAAGTTCACTACATGTATGTACATAACGTATCCTTATGCTTGTTCTGCATATTTATTTGAAGATCTGATCTTCAATCCCGCCAGATTTATGGATCGAAATACTGCTGCTCATAGGTGAAACTTATGTATGCCATTAGGTGCATTACTATTCGTCTCCCATTTCTGCCTAGTGTGAGTGAGACTACGCCGCAAGCACGTGCTTATGCATGCACTAGACTCTTGTATTTCTTAGATCTTCTTCCATGTACTTTTCTTGAACCACGGATTGTCACTCGAGCCATACGGTAGGGTTTTAATTTTTGTAGTTAATCTAAGACTACACAGTTCAGCGTCGTGTTATCTGACACTGCAAAAGCTTGCATATATCCTTGCGATATCGTCCTAAACCGGTTTAAAACAGCCCAGACTACGTATACTCTCAGTGGCATCATAAAAAGGATACCTTGCAATGCTCTCTATTTCTAAGTCTACCTATTACCCAGCTTTAGTCTTCTTATCCAAATGCCCACGACTGACCTTATCGTAACACCCCATACTCTTGCAATCCGGTCCCCGCTCCCCAAACTCGCTCCACCAAACTTCACCGTTATCCGCCTCCGCCGCTGCCTCTTCCTCACTAACCAAGCTCTCACGGTGTACGCCCTCATAACAATATGGCGACTCAATATTCTCCGGGGCCGCATGGTAACCCTCATTGGAATAGTCGACATACTCAAGGATCTCCAACCCACAGCAATCCCACGCCGGCCCATCCTGGTCACCAAAATGCTCTACCTTGCAGTCCTGTACCTCCACGCTCTTATCGAACGGTTGGTGGCAGTATACACAGTGTGCGAGCTTTTCCACAGGCCCTGTCGCGTCCTTATTCTCTGCGAGCAGCATTGCAATAAGCATTGATCTAGGGAGGGAGTTAAGGTGCGCGTGCAATGCGCTCCGGGTGGGGAATTGGGTGGTGAGCTCGGAGATTGTTGGGATATCAACCTCGAGGGATTGCTGTTGGGTCCCGGGGAGGGTTTCGGCGCGGGGGCGCTTTTTGAAGCCAGGGTCGTCGAGAGCGAGGGGAGAGGAGAGGAGGTCGTTTACGTTCATTTTTTTTAGAGGGAATTGGTGGATGGAAGGTGCGTATGTCCTGTATTTCTCTCTCTTTCTTCGCGTAAGTTTTATCGTTGCAACTCTGATTCGAATGCAAGGGAGTCCTTGTTGTTAGGGCTCGGGATTTTACGGAGCGAGGGGCAATATCTTCAATTTTATGGTGAAGCTCGCGATCGGTAGATTGGTAGTATCGGCCCTTCTGTGTAGGCAAAGTGGTATTTATAATATAGTGGTACCTTATATCGGGACCTGGAAGTCGTACACAATCCTAAAATTATTGTGTTTTTTGCACATATGCTGCTTCAAGACATGTGTAGGGCGGTGAGACCTACCTAGGACTGTCAAATAGGGCACAAGTATGTACCGCCATAACTCGAAAAAATTGGCTAGATCAAAATTACTTCTATGGGAAACTTCTTATGCAGATCGATGCCATTCAACCAATCACTCGAATGGTAATCCCTGGACGGAGATAGCCAATTTTTCGAGTTTTGGCGGTATGTTATTATTGACAGATCATGTTACCATGATATCAACCATGGTACTATATATAGAGAATGCCACCATTGAGTTACTTTACCGTCAAAATAGGTCAAATAATAATGCTTGCGAAAGGCTCAGGATACGCTTATATAAGCCTAAAATAAACATTTTATTTGATATATTGCTTTTTTGTGAATAATCCTACAGCAAATAACTATAGGTGAAAATCCTTATTTCGAAATAAGACTTTTTCCATATTTTAAGACTTATGCATTTTTTAAGGCTAATATAAGACTTTTTTCCAGATAAGATTATGTCCTTGGTGGTTCAAAAAAGCAAAAGAGAGGATTTGAACCTAGAGCATTGTAGGTAGAATGTACCTCATGCTACCCACTAAGTTATGGGAGAACTGAAATTTCCTTGCTGGAGGTAATATATAAGTAGGATAGCCGATGAAATGCTAGTAAAATCGGAAATTACAAATCTTATATAAACCTTATTTGCCGAAAATGTCTTATTTGATAAAAAGACTTATCTGGTATAAAGGCTTAAATTATTTGATAACACTTAAACTAAATTAATGTGTACAAATACCTAAAGATGTATATACTCCTTTTTCTCGGCAAATGATTACAAAATTTTAGGCCTTATGGGGGGAAGGCTAAGGACACAATTTTTCGTCAAAAAATGTTCAAATATGCCTTATTTGGACGATAAGCCTACAGCAAGCCTTATCATTTCACCTATGTTGACGGTAATGTATTAAGCTATTTTAGTTTTAGTGCCCGTAGATAGCTGGAGCAAGGACCATTGAAAATCTTAGAATGAACCGGCTTGGCGGAATTTCCAATTTCTGTCATAAACCTGGCTGAACTTTGAGTGGTAGCTGATACAGGCACTGTAGAGATCAACTAATTGATTTTCGTTCATTTTACAAAATACAGGAAGTAAAAACTATCCATCATACAAAGAAGAAAATACCCTAATCAATCAGTACCCAAGGAGATACCATGCAGCCGATAGCCCGCCAATCGTATACATGACAGTCCTCTCCTGGCTGGTCAAAATCTGTGGGCCCGTATCCTCCTCCCTCTCTTCTCTCTCTCGCTTCTTCTCCCTCTCCCTCTTCTCTTCCTCTGCAAACTGCTTGCCGGCCGACATCATATCCTCTATCATGTCCTTTGCTAGGTCTATCGGGAATCTACCTATCATACGCAGCATTGAATCGCTATCCTTCCCCGTCATATCCTGCATACCGCCTGCGATATTGCCCACGATGCCCTTGGCCATTTCCTTTGTCTCTCTTATCCCATTGTCGATTCCTTGGACTTGTTCTCGGTGGGCCTTGACTTCCACGGAGATTTTCTCAAGCACCTTGGCGAGGTCACCTGTTCGCTCATCGAGGACTTCGGAGGCATCTGGAAGGACAGTTGTCACCTGGAGTTTGAGGGGTTTAGCAACCTCGGGGACAACCTCGTGTCGATGGTAGCGCGCAAATTTGTTGTCTGGAGCCAATGGCTAGATACGATGATACACCAATGAGTAAGATTATGACCAAAGTGCACAAAACGTTCGGTTCAACGTACTACGCGGATCGGGCCTTCTTTCTCCTTGGAGTCCAAGACGCTTGGATCTGGCATTTCTGGGATATCCCGCGGGTGATTATGTTGGTACTTGGCCTCTCCAGCTCGAGGAGTTTTGGCTTCCTTAGCTCCGGTATTTCTACCTCCCTCAGCGCCGGTATTTCCAGCGTCATTTTCGGCTTCGGGGCGTTTGGCTTCCCCGGGTTCAGTATGTTTAATCGTATTTACGACTGCCGCTCTTAATGGGGGAGCAGAGCCTGACAAAGACTTTGACAATCTGTCGATAAGCTTCATGAATTCAATCGATCGCAAGTAATTAGCTGCGGTTCACTCGAATGACGTCATACATCGACAAATACTCACTTCCGACCTGTTCCCCCTAGTTGGAAGATTCCGGGTTGTCAATTGGGACTTAAGCTCGGACACAGAGGCCTGTGAGATCTGCGCACGGATTGACTCGTCACTTGGATTCTCGAGTGTCCTGAAAGCTGTAGTAGAGGAAATCGCAGCTGTGGGTATAAAGCTACGAGCATGGATTTTCTGTGCAACGGCAGGTGTACGGCGGCGGGCGATATGGAGTAGCATTTTGTAGGCCGTTTTATTTTGTACGATTGGCGCGAGTGTTGCTATTGGTGATGTTTGCCAATGGGTTCAGGTTGTCTGGTGGGGGGGTGTTTTGCACGAAAGCTTGCTTTCACATGTTTGTTACAGTAGGTCTGCCAAGACTTTGAACTTATGGCTTTATTTCTAGAGATGGAACTTTCTTTCAGAAGGAGGAAAATGGGCTTGGGAACCTTCCTCTTTGGTCAGGATCTACTGTGCTGTCTGCAGCCCTGGCTGGCCACTTTGCATGCCATCAATTATTACCAAATCCTAACCCGTCGCCGGCTCAATGCACCCCCACCCCTCGCAACCCTAGCCCTGATATCTCAACTTTCGAGATCGTGTGTACTGAACGAAATTTCGGGCAACAAACCAGTGGTAGAGAGAGCAAGGTCTCTTAGCAGCGAGGTGTTAGAGATAGTATGACTGCCTAGAACTCTCAGACCTGTAGTTTTGAGTACTGGTTCCCCGCACCTCACCACTCTAGGTATATACGAACGTGTTTACAACGTTGTGCCATAGGAGTTCACATTTCCGGAAAAAAGATATGGAAAGATTAGGAACCACAACTATGCAAATTTTCCGACTCTCTTCACTCCCAGTTTACGTAATCGAGTGATATATTGTGATGAAAGAGAGCAGGGGTAATGGATACTACTCTAGCTGAGAGAGCAAAATTATTCGGCCTCTAGTAACTGGTAAGTTCATTCCTCCAAAAGCCGAATGGGTTGAATCTTATGCGCTGGTTCCTGGATCTGAATGTACCAGAGTAACCAGACTACATTTATGTCGCTACATTACCGTATCCAGAAATAACTTCATATGATGATCATGAGTTTCAGACCCACCTTGCCAAAGAAGCAGTATAACAAATGCAGTTATAGGTGGTAAGCTCTTGTATTGTCATAGGTAGTATTGAGAAGGAAGAGGAAGAATTACAGGCGCAGTGCTACGTGTCTACATGTAGATCTCCACCTCACTTAACCGCCCAACCTACATGTATATATAATCATTGCAATTGCCAACATTATATTACCCGCTCATGATCAACTAGCTACCACGGAAGACCCCTACAGACAGCGATGTGGTGTCTACAAATCGATCTTTGGTATGAAACCACAAGTATTGACGGCGCTAAATCTATAATGTACTGTCTCTATTTTTTCTATTATTGGAACGGTCTGATTGGCTGCTGAGTGCAGGGATGTTGATTAGTCAGCACGACACATCAAAGTACTGAGCACTCACGAGAGGAGGAGGATGGGACCGAAGGCCCCTCATGATTGTAGAGGGAGAATTAAATTTTATTTGATACCCATAATTCAACGTACAACTCGCGGTCGCGAGTTGGCACACCCCTAGTACTTATGTATGTCTGGTAATTATAACCAGTACTTTTTCAAGGCTACGCTGTTTGCGGTATATACCGAGTTCGGGTGCCTGCCAATACTCAACCCTCCGCCGCTAGACACCCGAGTATGATACTCCCATGATTAAACGGGACAAATTACGGGGGCCGTTCTCCCCGAAACAGTTCTTCTGAATCGTCCAACGCTGGACCCTCGCTACCCCCTCCAGGGCCTAACGTGAACCTAGTATGTGACCTGCTCTCACCCTAGTGACCACTGAGCAGTTATACTCGATCTGCGGAGTACTTTCGGTATATGTGGCCAAATACATATGGCGTAGGCTCTAGTTATGTCATCCGGAATCTCACTAATTTCTCCCGCTGAGCGCCGGCATCATGATGAATCGGTACTTTACTTCATCTTAATACGATGACTCGAGGCTGACTCAACCCTCCTTCACCACCTATTCCAAAGCCACGGTTAATGCTAAGAATACTCCTAAAACCCTTGACAAAGTTTCGAGACTTTGAGGAAACTTGATTCAAGTCTCGAGACTCTCGAGATCTCGATAATTTCAAGACTCGCTCCATAACATACGAGTAAGACAAACCTTTTTCAGATTTCGTCTCGTGCGCGTGCTCATCGTTATAACTTACGTCGGTGACATCCTAAAGTTACTCCGAGGTATATACGGATTCCATTGATCTCTCCGTGGATGCCGTGATACAGCAAGCCTTGGCACAAGTAGCTAAGTCAATGTGTTACACAAGACCCGAAAATTAGTTGACTGGGTTAGGGTTCCCTACTAACTACTACCGCTGCTTACCCTGCCCACACAGAGCCTCACAAAAAAAAATATTGAAGCTCTTACAATCATTGCACCTCCAACCACACATTACCGCAAAGATGCCTCCCTCACAATTGACAAACGGCACCACCACGAAGAAGCGCAAGCGCACGACCGCCCTGGAAAAGACACGGAGCGAGGCGAGAAGCAAGGTCGTTAAGAAACCGGTTGTGCTGCCGACAGCGGAGGATGTGCTGGTGCTGGAGGAGGCTATTGCGGAGTCGCCGCAGCACTATAATAAGATTGTAACGCTGCTGGAGTATGTTCAGGTAGGGCATTGATATTCTGGGTTTATTGGGTAGTGGGGGTGGGAGAGTGCCAATTGGCTGATTGGTTTATGTACTAGAACGCATCTGCGAATCTCGAGTTGGCCGTGACCTCCGCCGTATCGCTATGTCGGGTCTTCTGCCGCCTGATGGCAAACGGGAGTCTCTTGCGGAAGAAGAGCCACGATGCGGCACAGTCTACGATTCTCGAGTGGCTGAAAGATAGATATAAAGACTACACCAAGGAGCTGTCCGCGCTCATTGCGCACGAGGACCCGGCGGTGCAGACCACGGCGCTGACGCTGTACATGCGTCTTGTCAAGGAGGACGGCGCACACATGAAGCCCGCCGGCGACGAGTACTACTTCCCGCAGATGCTGTTCGGGAAGCTCATGAGAGCGCTCCTCTACTCGGAGCATCTTGACGACGCCGTCAAGCAGGAGTTTACGAGCAAGTACCTCAACGCCCACGACGACATCCGGTACGCATTCTACACCGCCGTCTCCGCGCTTATCGCCGAAGCGCCCACTCCTACCCCGGTCTTCATAGCCAGCGTCCTCGCCCTCCTGCTCACTCTCGAGAACGTACCCACCGCCGACGCCCCGCTCCTCGGAAGTACATACACCACCGCCCCCGCGCCCAGCGCGCAAAAGCAGCCCCCCATCCACGCAAAACCCACGCACCGCAAGCTCCTGCAAGAAACATGGCTCGCAACGCTCCGTCTCCCGCTCACAAAGGACCAGATCAAGACCATCCTCGCCGTCATGTCCATCCGCATCGTGCCCTGCTTCACCCGCCCGCAGCTGCTCATGGACTTCCTCGTCGACGCCTACGACGCCGGCGGGTCCATCTCGCTGCTGGCGCTGAACGGCCTCTTCTACCTCATACAGACAAAGAACCTCGACTACCCGAACTTCTACACGAAGCTGTATGCACTGCTGACGCGCGATGTCTTCCACGTGAGGTACAGGTCCCGCTTCTTCCGCCTGCTGGATACGTTTCTGGAGTCGACGCATCTGCCGGCGGCGATGGTGGCCAGCTTCATCAAGAGGATGGCGAGGCTGGCGTTGAGCGCGCCGCCGGCGGCCGTGGTCATTGTCGTGCCGTTTGTGTATAACCTGCTGAAGCGCCATCCGAGCTGCACGTTCATGGTGCACCGCGAGGGGAGCGCCGAGGAGCGAGAGGAGTGGAGGAAGGAGGGGTTGACGGATGTGTTTGAGGAGAGGGAGGAGGACCCGATGAAGACGAGGGCGATTGAGAGTAGTTTGTGGGAGATTGAGATGCTGATGGCGCATTGGCATCCGAATGTGGGGACGCTGGCGAGGATCATTGGCGAGCAGTTTACGAAGGAGAAGTATATTCTGGAGGACTTTTTGGACCATAGTTATGCTAGTGTGAGTTGCCGCTTTTCCCTTTCTTTGGGTTTGGGTGGTGAGTGAGAGCTAACGAGTTGGAGGATAGATGTTTGCTGCCGAGGTTAATAAGAGCATCAAGAAGCCACCCGTGGTGGAGTTTGATATTCCGAAAAAGATATTCTTCAAGCCGGCCGCAGCTGCAGACGAAGAGCAGCTACAGGGCGAGGTGTCGGTAGAGGAGAATCCGCTGTTGGCGTTGTGGAGCTTCGAGTAATGGTATGTTTTAAACGTGTAGATAAACCAAAAGCATGCTTTAATTTCCTGTACAGTATTCTCCTTTTTATATATACCATTCTGTCGTATATACACTTATCCTTATTCCTTTTCCCTATGATCTTGCTAGGATTTGTGAGAGACAACTGGCTGCCTGTGTATCTGCCAACCATACGTGCACATGTAGCGAGGAGCACGAGTGTGTGGTATGAGATGTTTTAAGGTGTTGTATACGTACGGCAACGCATAAACAAGCTATAGAAACCCGGTAGTTGTGTGTTACTAGTCACAGAGGTTAGCCAGCTAACATTTAGCTTCAAGAAATCGACATGCTTCCCGTTAAATCCTCGCACAACAACCAGCTGCCAGTATGGTCTACATCACAACGGTAGGCTTCAACTACATGTGAGGCATAGTTCTTGGGATGACGTTGCAACGCTATAATCACCTACTAGAGTGGTAGACCGCCTGATCCGACTCCCCGATTAGCACTGCTCCCGCTTGTGAGAGTCATAAACTATCACTCGCATGCGAGCCCACGCGACTACAAGCATTACCAGACCAACTCAAATTGACAGCTGCACAGAAACAAAGCGAGGCACGGGTGATCTAGTATTGTTACGGGCGGGACAAGACGCGGTGCGCCTAAACTATGAGGATCACATTGGCCGAGTGATAATACATGAAGATATTCTTCATAGTTGGAAGTGGCTATCTCGTGCCGATTATGAGATACATCTAGGACTAAGACCCCGGCCTACAAATTACGGGAAAGGAGTCACATACCTTGACTCCCATGGTTTCGATGTGGTGATATCAAATATCACAACCTACGCTGTAGAAGATGGATATTTCGGGGGCGGGCAGCTACTGCGTCTTGTGCTCATCCCCTACAATCAGCAGTATTAAGAACTTATATCTAGGAATGGGTGAGGACTTACTTACCATGGTATACCTTCCAAACACGAAAAAAACAAAACAAGAGAGGCATCAACAGAACTCTCGTGTTCCCTCAGACAGAACCCAAGAACCAAGAGAGCTCCGCACACCCTCTTTACATGGGGAATGGGGAGGAGCCAGAATTCCCTCGATCCCTCGGACTGAGCCCAGGAACAAAGAGGATTCTGCGCTCCCTCCTTGCAGAGGAGAGCGGAGAAAGCGGGCTGTGTGCAGTCGAAGCATTCTCTTGGCCCCTCGGATAACACCCAGAGGTCAGAAGAATGCTGCACTTCCTCCATGCGGAGAGAAGCACGGGTGCAGGTTTGAGGGGGGGCGGGGAACTGATAACTCCCTTTTGACCCCTCGGACAGAGCCCAGAGGTCAAGAGGGAGCCGTGCTTCTCTCGTGGAGAGAAGCACAGCGAGGCAGCTGGGACGGGGCAGGCTTCTCTCCGTAGAGAGAAGCACGGGGACATGCGGGGACGCGGGGACGGGGGAGCAGGTTGAGCGGGGGCGCAGGCTGGGAGTCAACCCGCGGACCAGCCAGCAAGCCGGAACGGGCAAGCGAGCCACCGGGGAGAACAAGCCAGGCCGGGGTCCAGCCCGCCAGCCTGCGCACCCACGCAGGGCAACCGGGACCAGCCCGCCCAGGCAGCCGGGCAACCAGTGCCGCCAACACACCCGAGCAGCCAGCCAGACGGGGCAGGGGAGCCAGCCCACACAGCAGAGCCAGCCCGCGCGGGAGAAAAAACCCCGCCGCCACACCCAAACAGGCCAGCCCACGCAAGCCACCCACCCGGGAAACCGGCCGGGGCGGCACCACTCGGGGCCCAGCCCTCCAGCCCTCCACCCGTCGACCGAGCTGGCCGCCCCAGCGGGCAAGCCGGGGAGCCAGCACACCGGTGCAGGGCAACCAGGCCCACGCACACAGTGCACCGGCCCGCCAACACTCCCGGGCAAGCAAGCCGGAGAGCCGCCCCGAACACCACCGAGGGCAACCAGGCCCCCAACAGGACCGGCAGGCCAGCCCGCACAAGAAAACCAGGCAGCTGGGGGGCCGGGGAACCAGCCCGCACACCCGCCAGACAGCCAGCACCCACAGGGGACCCGGCCCGAGCAACCAGTCCCGCCGGCGCACGGGGAAGCAAGCCACCCAGAGGGCAAGCAAGTCCGGAGGCGGGCGAGCGAGCAAGCCGAAGCAAGCATGCCCGCCGACCAGCCGGAGCAAGCAAGCTCCCCACAGGAGCAGGCAACCCAGCCAGCAAGGCGAGGAGGCGAGCCAACCAGGGCAAGCCTCCCACCGGGGAGACAACACAGGGCGGGGAACAGGCTGCCCGGGAGCCAGCAACCCAGGGAACCAGCCCAAGGGAGACCAGCCACCAGGCCAGGCAAGCCAGCTGCCCAGAAAGAATCCCCCCCCCCCTCCAAGTCCTCTACCCAGTACCCACACAGTTCACAAGGAACAGGTGGGTGCGGGCTTTGGGAGGAAGGGGAGGGGAGGAGGGAGGAGAAGGGGAGGGGAGGAGGGAGGAGAAGAGGAGGGGAGGAGGAAAGGGAGGAGAAACGACTGGCTTATAACACTGTTGTGCCAAGGATAGCTTTTCGCCGACGCTGGGGCTGGGCGTGTGGTTAACTTGCTTAATCCTGAGTCGATCTTGGCGTGTGTTTTAGGTATTTGGTGGGAGCGAATAGCTTTTGATGTTTGATGGCGGAGTAGGGGGTTTGGCGATGCTGCTTGTGAATGGACTTTTGATGGTACGTATTAGGAGGAGGTAAAAAGCGTGGATTTTAATTACCCAAATAGGTTTTATGTTATTTTTAAATCTGAATAGCCTCAAGTGACCAAAACTGTTCCGGAGATAAAGGTAAAAATAAAACAGAAAGATATCATCGTAATTCCTCGTACTTAAAAGAAGGAGACAATAGTTTACCTGACCAACGAACATACACTTCCTTTACCTTTTCTCCCTCGCCTTCAGATAGCTTCAGCAGTGGTATCTCATCTACGGCAAAAAATAATAATAATACGGATGTGTTTTCCTTCTATTGGTTTATAGAGATCTTCCGTGCGCCGTTAGATGTATAGTAGTTAATGGATATATACGAGTGATTTCTCATGATCTCAACCCGCACTATCAGCTAGCCATATTCTAAGGGCAACGAGCGGCTGGGGCACTACGATAATGACTGAAGCCTTATTCTCACAACGGTCCTTATAGATTCCCTTTTCTTGCTTCATTGCACCTCAAAGACCGCACGCACCACACACACACAGCCATCTAGAACACCATACCCAAGCAAAAAAAAAACGCTTCAATTACTTTTAACCCCCCCTCCCATCTACACAGCTCCATAATATACAATTCCCCCCCCCCCCCAAAACCATCTCCTCTACCGATCACCCCTATCATTCCTCTTCCCGCCCCTAAACTTGCCCCCACCATGCTGCGCGCCCGGCCCATAATTCCTCCGCCCGCCCGGCGGCTTCTTGTCCCTCCCCAGGCTGGCCCCCAGCTGGATATCGACCGACGGCGGCGCCGAAAACCCAAAGCTCTTCGCCACCTTCAGTAGATCGAGCTTGTTGACGTCGAACACCGTGCGCAGGCTGTGCGAGGCGTAGGCTTGGATATAGCTCCTGTTGCACCTCTCTATCAGCACTGTCTCTACCACCAGGGGGAGAGGGTTTGTGTTTGGGGGGGGGGGGGGGGGGAGAGTAGTACTTATACCCATCCTTCGCGCTATTATTCAGATAGTAGTTCTTGCTGATGAGCTTCTCGAGCTGGCTCTGCACATTGACGAGCTTCTTGGAGGGGAACTCGAACTCCACGACGGGCACGCGCGCCTCCTTGAGGTACTTGAGGAAGCCGAGCTCGGCGGGCTGCAGGAACATGAGTGATTTGCCCTTTGTGTTTGCGCCGCGGGCCGTGCGGCCGACGCGGTGGATGTAGTCGCGCGGGTCGTCCGGGGGGTCGAATTGCACGATCCAGTCGACGGAGGGGATCTATGGCGGGTGGAGGGGTTAGGTTAGTGCTGTTTTTTTTTTCGGGGGGGAGGTGGGGCGGGGTTTGAGGGAAGGGAAGGGGGGGGTTGCTCAGAGGTTGGATTTTTAACTATTGTGAAGTCTAAACATGATGCACATATATAACCATCATAGCAACGAGTCAAGTGGGCAGTGGGAAGAAGTAGCTTAAAAAAACATAAAGAAAGGGGAGCCATACATCCAAACCTCTCGCCGCAACATCCGTACAAATCAGCGTCCCCTGCTTCGCATTCCTAAACTCAAAAAACGTATTCGTCCGCTTCTGCTGCTTCTGCTTCCCATGCAGGTCCAGCACCGGCAGATCAATATAGTTCAGCAGCTCCGCATAATACTTGACACTGGCACACGACGAGAAGAAGACAATAATCTTCTTCTTCATGAACCTCTTCAGGAACGAGAACAGCAGCAGGAAGCGCTTGTCCGCCTCACACACGACATACCCCTGCTCAAGGCCCTCGACAGTCGACGCCTCCTTGTGGTAGTCAACATTGATATAGAGCGGTCCGGGCCTCAACGAGATCCTCGCCAGATCCTCCACCTTTGTCGTCTGCGTCGCCGAGAACAGCATCGTCTGCCTCCCCTCATTCGGGATCATCTTAATAATCTGCCTCATCTCGTCCTCGAACCCCATCTCCAGGATGCGGTCCGCCTCGTCGAGCACCAGTGCCTTGAGGTTCTTATAGTTGAACCCCGGCGTATTCTGGAGATGATCCAGCAGGCGCCCCGGGGTCGCAATCAGCAGATTGACGCCCTTAAACAGCTTATCCGCCTCCTGCGACCGATTCGCACCGCCAATGACGATCGCCAGCGTCTGCGAATGGTTCTCCATGAGCTCCTTCGCCACGCCGAAGATCTGCAGCGCCAGCTCGCGCGTCGGCGTGATGACCAGACAGCCCGTGCCGGAGCGTGGCTTGAACTTTAGCGATGTGAGCATCTCGACGGCGGGGATGAGGAACGCGAGAGTCTTCCCCGAGCCCGTTTTGGCAGCGCCGAGGACGTCGCGGCCGGCCATGAGCGGCGGGATGGTGCGGCTTTGCACCTCGGTCATGGTCGTGAAGCCGAGCTTTTCGATCGCCTTTTGCGTGCCCGGGGAGAGGTGCAGGTCGCTGAACTTTGTGGGGTGCTCGCCGGTGTCGGGGAGGGAGAGGGCGGCGTGCTCGGGGAGGTTGGTAGGCGCTGGTGGGCGCTCGGGGGGCGTTGAGTCGTCTGCTTCGGCATCGGCGGCGGGTTTTGACTCTGATTCTGCGTCGGAGTCGGAATCGGAATCGTCGTCTTTCTCCGCTGGCTTCTCGCCCAGTTCTGCTTTTCCGGCCTCTGCTTCGGCTTCGGCCTCCTCCTCTACGTCTTCAGACTCTTCTTCTGCAGGAGGTGGTGGGGGAGGTGTGGCTTCCTTCTTTTCCTTCTTTGCCTTCTTGCGTGGCTTGTCGTCTTTCGATGCTACCGGCGCCTCGTTCGCGACGGGCAGCACCACGGAAGTCCCTGTGGCAGCGTCCTTGTCCTTCTTGCTTCCGCCATGCTTTCTCTTGCGTTTCTTTGTGGCCTGGGCGTCGTTTGCCATTGTTCAGCTGGCGGTGGTGGTGGTGGTGGTGGTGGTTCAATTGGTGTTTATGTGAGGTTGTTGGTGGTGGTGGATGTTGGCAGTAGCAGTCAGTGTCTGTCCGTGGTTGTCGGCGGGGCAGCAGCGCAGAAATGTCGAATATCTTTTTTTCGGCAGGCATCTTTGGGGTTGCACAGAAAGCGTGAGCCCGTGCGAGGGCCAGGGCCAGGGCCAGGGCCAGGGTTGGGCACTGGCAGTGACCGGGGCGTCTGTCAGCACTTCTCGGCCAAGGCGAGATGGATGGTGGCCGGGTTGGTTATGGCGCCAGGCCCCGGGACCACGCCTGTTTGCCGCAGCACGCGTCATCACTCGGCCTGGCAGTCTGACTAATCGCTTGGCATCGCGGAAGGCTCAACGATCATTTCCCGGTCACTTGCTTTCTAGCGCAGCAGCAGCGCAGAGAGAGCAGATACGCCGATGCCGATAGATAAATACGGCGCAGACATCTACACAAACCACAAACCACCAACCCAACCCAACCACCACCGCAATGCCGCCCAAACCCCGCAACCCCGTCGCAGCCGCTGCTTCCTCCACCACCGCCGCCATCACCTCCGACACCCCGCTCTTCCTCCCCTCGGCGCTCGACGATGACTCCGACGACGACTCCCTCGAGCCGCCCATCCGCGCCGAAGAGTCGCCCATCCGCACCGAAATCACCCCCGGGCTGCTCCCACCGACGGCCACCCCCGCGCCCCCCGCCCAGTTCACGCTCTCCGACGACGGCGACGGTGACGGCGACGGCGACAGTTCCTCCGAGCCCGCCTCGGACGACGACGACGACCCCGTGGTGTGCAGCTACAACATCCAGATCACCTCGCCCGTGGCGCCCGACCTCTACGTGTTCCAGTACCCCGTGCGGTCGCGGCAGAAGCCGTACACCAAGGCCGAGTCGTCGTGCCCCGTCGAGGCGCGCTTCAAGCCGCGGTCGGGCCTGGTCGAGGTGGATGTGCCGGTGAATGTGCATGTCAACTACGACGAGGAGAAGGGCAAGACGTGGGGGGATGTGCTGCGCAAGGCGGGGAGGGAGGCGGCGGGGAAGGCGCTGCCGGGCGTGGGGGGTGCCGCGGGGGCGAATAAGAGGAGGAAGGTGGAGGAGGAGGAGGAGGACGAGGAGGGCGCGGAGGAGGAGGTGGATGTGGGTGCGATGGACTTTGCGGAGGCGTTGAAGAGGGGGCGGGTGTTGGATCGCCAGACGCTGGGGAGTAGGATACAGGCGGATAATACAAAGTATATGGTGGGCGTGTTTAAGAATGGTGGGTGTGCTAACTAACTGGCTGTGCGGGAGGGGTGTGGACTGATAGTGCGTGTGCTAGATCAATTATATCTTACACCAATCACATCGACCCTACAGCTGCGCCCGCAGTTCCACCACGTCGACACCGCCGTCGAGGCCGAGCGCGCAGCGTCAAAGGCCGCGCGCGACGCATCGGCGCCGCAGAAACCGCAGGAGGCCCGCGCGGTGCATCTGTCCGTCAAGAACTCTGACGACCCGTCGTCGCAGCTGAGCAATACGATGAAGGCGCTCCGTGTTGCGGAGGAGGAGGAGTGGACGAAGCTGCACTGGGTCGACCAGGACACGGAGGATGCTTGGGAAATGTATGAGGTCTCGTGCCTGAAGGAGGGCGAAGGCGGCCTGCTGAAGAATGTCACAGGGAAGGCGGAGTATATGGAGTGGCTGAGTACGGGGAAGCCGATCGTGAAGAAGAAGGAGATAAAGGTGGAGGCGGCTGCGGTATGAAGGGGCTGGAAGGAAACGATCGTATTGTAAATAGGTATAACTAGCATAGCATAGCATCGCAGCTCACTCGGGGCATCTGGGTTGGTACTGCATTCGTAATCAAAACAAGGGACAATAAATGTCTTTAGCTTTCATATCTTCCTCTTTTTGCAATCTGTTCCAGGGTTTCTTTGAATATAGCCGAATATCATAATGTAGAGAATCATCTTAATACCCATAGGGCTTGGCTAGACCTTCCCCCCTCCGGATATCGTTTTCCGCTCTGTTGCTATTCCTCATTATGGGTTTACAGCCATTAAACACAATTATTGCCACATCCTGAATCTACCGACTGTACGTAGAGCAGTGAGCGTTAAAACCCAGTCGGCAGCTCAATCAAGCCTCTTTTATAACGGGCTGTTCTTAATCTAACCACCGGCTATTATCCCTAGAGCAGTCAAATACGCACATATTGTGAATAATAGAGGTTTTAAACTGGCCAGTAATTATTCATCAGCGCAATTAGTTAGTGTTTTTGAATGGCGGATGTATTTACTAGATAAACCAAAGCATTGCCACTGGCCATGGAAAACGGTCGTGGCTGGCATTTGAGATGCTAAACACGACTCCCTTCAACTAGTGGATAGTGAGCATAGTTCATGGATTATCACTCGCGATCGGCGGTGAGGTGTTGTTAGTGACGCTTAGTCCACTTCTGTACCAACACCGGCTCCTAGTTATATGTACAATAAATGGAGATTATTGGGGCAGAAATGTAGTGCACGCCCTGTCAAGCAGTTTTTTGGGATAGAACACCCTAATCCGGATGAAAGGAAAAAAGTAGATATGATTATTGCATAGCCATCTCTCATTTAAGGATGCAAAGTCTCTGAAAACTTACCCGCTATGATAGCGGGTTCGAAACTAATACATCTATTGGACGCCTTCAGGAGCTGAATGTTGGTGGTATCGGGGAAGCTTTGGTAGTTATTGCTAAGACATTCAACCCCAATACTTAAAAGGCTGTTTTAGTGGTTGGCTGAGCTAGCTTGGCTGGATCTGATGGCCACAGGGGCCGGTGAGTATACATGTCTACAAATTACTGCCTTTACTCTCTCGGCATCTGTAGAAGACAGTCTGGCGGAGAGTAAGATGATATGGTGCATTTCTTGTTGGAGAGGGAATTACTTAATCCAAAGTAAATCTACAGAGAAGGCTATTGACGCAATGAAACCTTGAGATGAATGCAAGTACAAGTGACTTCCCAGAGAACCACTTTCAATGGTAAAATAAAACAGTATATACTTTGATACAAGAAATGGGAAGATTTTATCATGTACAATTCCGCCCACATCGCCGCCCACTACTCCTTTTACCTGTCAGACAACGCACCCTTTAGAGCCCTCCAGTACTTTCCTGAAACCAGTGGCTGAATCTCTTCTTTTGTAACCCATTTGAAATCGTCCAGACCGAGCTTATTATCTGTCAAATCTGCCTGACCAGCAAGGATACGCGCTTTCATGAAGAAGACCTTCTTCCCACCGTTTTTGCCCTCATCGATGATACCCCAAGGGTAGTTGTAGGCACGGTGTCCTATTGGGACGTTTCCAACAAACCAGGTGTGCATGTTGACACCTACAGCTTCTTTGAGGGTACGTTCAGCGCCCTGTGAGGAGGTTGTTTTAGTTGATTTCTTCTCAAAACGGAACCAAACTAAAAATGGTATTTCATACCTCTCGCAGGTTCTCATCCCCAACAAGCGTACTCTGTGGGAATCTCCATGCGAAGTTATCCCTGTTCTTTTTAACAAGCAGATATAGTGTCCTGCTCATTTTTCTGTTCAGGCTCTTTGTGTCATTCTCCAAATCCGCCTGCGAGATCCTTGGAAATGGCTTTGCGACAATTTCCGTCGGGTGCTCAAAAGGTTCTCCCTTTGCCTCTGCCTCCTTGGCGGCCTCGGCTCTTGTGGCAGCCATCCTCAGCGTGTCCTCCTCTCCTGTTACGGTGGTATCAACCAGATACTGGTAGCCATTGTCTTCGCTGATGTGGCTATTGTCCCCAGCCAGAAGCTCGTCTGCCCATCCTCGCGGCCCATAGGGGTTGTATTTATTGGCCGCCGCCTGCTTCCTCTTCCATTCCTGGTCGGCCAAAGTTCCCTTTTTGAAGTAGAACCAGCGAGTGAATGGGAGCTGGAGTCGATCGTTGAGACGGCGCTGGTAGAAGTAATATGATGACTCGAAGTCCGGGAGATCACGAGTGAGCATAGGCGGTCGGCTGAGGATAACTGCCGAGGCAACACTAAAAGATTCTGAAGCGTCGGCTTCCTTACGGGCCGCAAGGTCGTAAGTGAAACCGGCGCTCGCGGGCTCTGCGGTGGTAGGCGTTGCCGTAGCAGTCGAGTATGTTCGTAGGACACATGGTTTTGACGAGTTGCTCAGGAGACTTCCTGGAAATTTGGATTTAAGTCTTGAGAATATGATCTTCAATTCGAGGTAATTGATATTACATTGGACTGGGAAAAGACATACGCCGTAACATCAGCCCTAGTACCGGCCTAGAACATTTCTGGCCCGAATTCATGGCGGCAGTTTACACCGAAGTAATCAGGGGTTACTAGGAGAGAACCAGGAGGTAAGTTGAGGTAATTGCGGAGGGGGAAGTTATGATTGGCGAAAGACCTCAAACGTCAAAACGTCAGACTTCCAAAAACCTCGAAAAAGTTTCTGCGGTCCCTCCATTGCCAAGTCTCCAAGATGGGATGAGGATGCAACCAGCAGTTACCCTGAACCCCACTATATGAACTAATCAACGCGCAAACGCGTCTTCCCGAGAGTCTCGCTCGCGACATCACGTTAGCTCCGGAAAGCTCGACACAATCACTGATAGACTCTCATCCAACAATGTCTAGAATTCCGGCTTTATTACCTGGTTTCATTCCTTTATCAGAGGTAAAAAACCGTTTAGATGCCACCGTCAATCTTGTGGGTGTTGTTGCGGACACTCGCCCACCAAAAATGTCTGCGGGCTCAGGTACGTGATAGATAGCTCATGTGTGCAAACAAGCAGCTTACCTCGCCTCTCTCGCTTCATTAATTAACGAAAGAAAAATAAAATGAAAAACAATGCAAATTTACTTACATTGTTTGTTTGCTGTGCTACCTAGATTGGATGGTAACTTTCAAGATCTGCGATCAAACTTGCCCAGACGAGACGTCTAGTGTGCCTATACGTGCTTTCAAACCGATTATGGATCAGCTTCCCCAGATCTACTCAAATGGTGATATTATTCTCATCAAATCAATAAAACTCCAACGTTACCAGGATAAGATCTATGGAATAGTTTCGCCTGCGACGACTTGGATCATCAGCTATCTACCTGCCATTGCGAACACAGTCCCCTCGACTATCACATTTCCTACCTCGATGAAACCACAGCCAATGGAATTCTCTCAGTTGAAAGGTCTCCGCAACTGGTGGACTTCAGTTGGCGGTGCAACATCCTCGGACAATGCACACATGGGAAACTACCAAAACATGCCTGCAAGCAGCTCAATGCCTCACACAAACAACTATCAAATGACCCCCGTGAACAATCATCAGGTTATGGCATTCCAAGGAAACGCCTACCAAAATCAGGCCCCATACATAAAGAAAGGAAGTCTCAAGTTTTCCTTAATCAGGGATATGAAAGTTAACAACTTCTATGACCTGATTGGCCTTGTCGTCAAGACATTTTCGGCAACCCAGAACTATACTCTTTACATCACAGACTATTCTAGGAATTCTATGGTTCATTCTTATGAATGGCCTGGAAACAATACCGTTGAGGAGGGTAATTTTTCTCGAGCCAAGCAGGGCGGCGGGGAATGGCCAGGACCATGGGGTCAGTATACCTTGCAGATTACACTCTGGGATGCGCATGCATCAGCTGCGAGGCAAATTCTGGAAGATACGCAAATCCTGCAAAATATGCAAGACGGTGTCGGTGTTTATGTGGGTCTAAAAAACGTTCGTGCGAAAAAAAATGGGGACGGAAGGCTAGAGGGTGTTTTGCATGGTGACAAAACGATGAGACCAGGTTTATATCTTATAGATGACATGAGAGATCAGCGAGTCAAGGACATTATCCAGAGGGAAAAAGAGTACACTAGGAGGTTCAATACCAATAAGAACCGGCACGAACAGGAGCAGGAAGCCAAGATGGCTGAGTTAAGGAAGAAAAAGGCCAAAGTGGAAGCAGAGAAAAAGGAACGTCAAGAGAAAGGGAATAAACATAGTATGTGATCTCTGTTCATGCTGCATTTAAAAAGGTACTTACTAAGCCATACCATCGAAATCCAGTTGTTTGTGAAAGACAAAAGGACGCCGACCCAACACCGTTATCCGAGATTCTTGATGCTCCTTGTATCAACAGAAACTACCACGTATACTGTTGTGTAGTCAATTATACTCCGGAAAAGCTAGAAGATTTCTCTAAGAAAATTAAAGTGAATAATCAAAACGATGACTCCAAATTCCCTGCCGATTCTTGGATTTGGCGCTTTGCGCTACAATTCCGAGACAAAGAAGGCAAGGAAACACGAGTTATAGTTGAAGGGAAAGATGCGGAGGGGTTTCTCGATCTAAATGCGGTGGAGTAAAGTTCCTCACTAGAATTTCTTTCAAACCTGATCGGAAAGCTAACTGGGGAAACAGCCTCCGAAACGATGAGACGGCCCTCTTGCGCCTTAGAGAAAGGCTCTTTCTAGTTTGGGGCGATCTTGAAGAACGCAAGAGTAGAAAGATGCCCAAAGAGGCTCAGTCACTGAAAAGAAAGCGGAATAATGACGGCGGCCCTAGAAAGAAGCGCGAAACAGATGAGCTAGGAAAACCCGTTAAGAGACATAGTAAAGAACCGAGCTCTGATCTCGACACCACCGACAGTGAAGATTATTCCGATTCCGATGCTGAAGAAGATCGTGGGGGGCGTGGAAAGATGTTTCTATCTTGCATCAGAGAATATACGGTTAATGGGAAGAAACTACATAAGTTATTTGGCACATATATTAGGTATAGTTAGGTATTAGGATTCAATTTGGCTTTCGTCTTCATATTATTAGTGGCGTTCGGAGAGTTTTGGCAATGATTCTGAGCTTTATTTGCCATTGATTGAAACACTTGGTCTTTATACTCCGAAGTTGTAATTTCCGTTCATGATAATGTATTTCTTTCGTTCTTGGCACTATTTCCTTAGCTATCTGTATTTTTATGGTTAGTTCTATTCTAGCTTATTCATTATTTTGGGGGGCTATGATTCTTAACTTTATGTATTGTAAATGCCTCCAATTCCAATGTTTCTGCTGATATATGACTCAAGAGCATGTACAACGAAAACGACACAAAGTTTTATACAGTACTCAACGCGTCAGTTTTGTATCCGAGCCCTAAATTCTTCTATCCCTATATTATGTAGTTATATTCCTATGACATTCGGTCCCCCTCGCTCATCATCTCAGCCTCCCTATGCACTACTGCCTTATGGCTACTTGGAGTCCCGGTTGCGTAGAGCCTATAAATCGTTTGTAGCCCACAAGGCCGGATGCACCGATGTAGGCTGGGCTAGAGTGTCCTCCGGATTCTTATATACTTGCTTCTGGATAATCACGCAGTATTATAAATTAACAGTCATCGATTTCCAATAACATGTGGTCTCCTTTGCGATAGTTAGACATGAAGCAACCCCACCGGTAGCCCCCCACATATCTCAAATGGAATATTGGGAGGGTATCGACTTAAGAGAGTTAAGAGGATGCCGCTACAGAGAGATAGATATCACGGGACTCTTCAAACATGCACAGGCTTCATACAAGTTATCAATTATGTGGAGTGAGTAGACATAAAAGCCGGCACTCCTAGCGAACAACAATTCTGTAAATACATTTACCTACTGGCCTCAAGAGATGTACGTTTACGCCACAATTTTGGTGTTACCGTGTTTTCTCGCAGAAAGCTATTTTCGCAGTACAGTTCCCAGTGAAAGCGATAACTAAAAGAGTGGGTTTATTAGTTTGTACTCGTAGCAAAAAAAAAACTTCAAGGGCCGATAGGGCTATTAGGTATACGTATTGGAAAACCCGCTTTCGCAATAATTCTAAATTATAAGTATATATAACGTCTCTGGAAGTCATGGACTATCACTCGCATAATTAGTCAGCTGATAGAGATTCACTAGATTTTGGTTCGCCCAACATTCCTTCAGTATAGTAACGCATTTCCTCAACGCAATTCGGTCCAACTCCGCTTCAGCAGTACGCATCTCATACGCAATGACTAGCAAACCTTTTGGCCTACAAAATGTGGTCAGCATTTCGCATATAAAAAAAATAAAAATAAAAAAAAGGTAATACGCTTCTTGGACGTTCTCCAATACCCTGATTAACGCGGCCGAAGCGGAATTAATATAGACTAGGTAGTGTCACTACATGTACTACACTACAGAAGCTGGAGTGTTTGGGGGGAAAACATATATGACCTTGACTCTCTACTCCCCCTACCCCTTACCCTCCCTTCCGTCCTCTCACATATATGGGACCCGTCGCGCTGCAGGCTTTCCAACTGCTCAGAATTTGATGTGTCATGTTTATAAGCCACCCACCCCTGCTGTGTACGTGCACACCAAAGGGCGGATTGCAGTATATATTGGACGATCTCAAATACCCTTCCCTCATTTCTCCATTCCTCTCAACCCTATCTCTTACCCTGACCCAGCATCCCATAAACTCGATGATTTTTCTGATCAGGAGCTACAGATGAATATTCTATTTATACATCTGAATGTGTTAACTACCCACCTACTGTTTTTACAGGCTCTTAAATAATGAATGTGTATGCCGCCGGGCTTTTGAAGAAGATCATAAGAACATATATATATACAACTCTACTATATTTCACACTAGAAGATTATATTTTAGGTTATTAGCGCGATCGTTGTGCTAGTCGATACAAACGATCGATATTTTCAAGATTGCATTAAAGGATCATCCCGTAAGGGTTGAGAAGACACAAAAGTGCATAATTTTAACACCCTAAAACATAAGACATCGAGAGATACATATGTATGTAGGTGCGAAGAACATTCCATGCAAACTACTCATCTTGAAATTATATGCACAAGAGATTTCGTCTCTGCATAAACCTTCGAATTTTGTGTGCTAGTTAGCAAATATAAGTTAAAAAATCCTAGGTGATCTATGTCCTTTTAAGGTTCAACATTTTGTATATCCGTCGCCTTCCCCTTCCCTTTTTTATCTTTCCTCTTCTTATCCTTCTCCGCTCCAATCAACTGGCCGAAGTTTGGGCAGACAACAAATTTTCCCTTGATCTGTCCTAAAGAGAACGCCGCCCCCTTCTGTCTCCCCTTTTCATCGACATCCTGCTCTCCCCATGGCGATTTCTGTTTAATCACGACCGCCTCCTGTAAGAACCCCATTCTTGAACCTCTGCTGACATCGAACTCGATAGGACCGTCTTCGCTATCTTGGGAGCCCCAAAGAATAGAGATACGTCCCGATTTATGGACCCGGAGTTGGCCAGCTATTCCAGATGGCGGGAAGGATTCAAGGAGCGCCATTTGAGCTCTGGCGGATATCTTTTGTTGTTTGAGCGATAAGGGAACATTAGGGAGCGGTGGGGCAGAGGCGGCAGATTTGTCGTCGGTATTTATGGGTGCCACTGGAGCGACAGCAATAGATTCTTTAGCGTCCTCTGAGGAAACAAGTTGGGGGAGGATTTCAGGGAATTGGAAGCAGAATATTTGATTATCAAGTTCCAGATTCTTCTTAGAATCAGTGATACCGGACTCCTGTAGGCAAGATTAATGATTAACTCGGGACAAAAGGGAAGGCCAAACTAACCATTTCGACATCGTCGTCGACTTTGATGCCAGAGAAGTCACCAACCATCTCCCTTAGGGTCGCTTGGCGGTCCAGCTCTTCCATCTCTGTTTCTTCTTTAAATTGCTGTGTCAAAACCTCTGGGTCTGGCTTTGCAGCCTTTGGTGAGGGCGTAGATAGAGGTGGCGAGTCCAAATCCGGGAGTGCGATATCATCGTCATCTACCGGCTCGTCTTTAATTTTTATTGTTGTTTCAAATTCCACTTTGCTTTTCCCCTTCTTTATGCCTTTGTCTGTCTTGGTACTCGAGTCAGTGTTCACTGAAGATTTCAGCTCATGATGATGGCTTCTAGGAACTCTGAGTGGCGCTCCGGCTCCCCATGGTCTGCCTTCGTCGTCCATCTGCTGGTCGCCTTCGTCATCCTTTTTACCTGCGAGGTCATCGAGGTACCCTATAAATTCTACGTCCATTCTAGCATCGTCGGAGTCGTCAGAGGACGAATAATTTATCTCCTGGCCGTCTTCGGTTTTCATTTTCGCTTTTCTTTTCACCCCATCTAAGTCTGCGCCCATAGACTGTCTATGCTTCGTAAAATTTGTCCCGCGTTCGACAGCAACCTCTTTTAGACGGCCTGGGTAGGGTTGTAGGATGTCAGTAACCAGTAAACCTGGACAGTAAGACACGCTTATGTATAGTATACCAGTATTAACACTTCCTAATGCAAATGGTCCAGACGCTGTGGCAGGCGCATCTGAGAATCCGCCTCGCCCTCTTCCCCTTCCTCTTCCGCCTCTTTGACCGCGGTCACCCCGGTTCCCCCGAGCAGGCGTTGGTGTAGCTGAAGCTTCAAATTTTGCTGCGATAGCATCTCGCTCTCTTATTTCAAGATTAGCACAACGAAACAAATGCGACTGAAGACTCAATCAACCGCTCACTCTTTAGTTTTTCTTGCAATGGCCTTCGGCTTGAACTTCAAACCACCTGCAGCCCCCCTTATAGGTGGTCCAACAAGTGGTTTTGGCGTAAGGCTATCCAATCTCCCAGATGGTGGTGCCTGAGCAATTGGCGCAAGAGGCTCCGCGATTTCGGCGGCGGGTGTAGATGGTCCTGTCGAAGGCTGCGAGGCCTCTGCAGAAGCTTCTCCTCCAACAACCCTCCGGCGGGCTACGGGTTTTGGCGCTGCTTTGAGTCGTGGAGGCATGGCTGGAAAGTTTTGGTGGGGGATTTTAGAGGTATGACTTGACTCAAATTTTGGGGACGCGAAGTCACGAGCATCGAAATAATTGCCGAGCCTTAAAACTGGAGCGATAAGCTACGATAAAGACCTCAACCACCACCAACAACAAACCCCACCACACAGGCACCCAAAGAAACCCAGGCGAAATAACTCCTTTGTTATATCAAGCTAATTCCCTCGTTCTGCGATGACCCAAACGTTCTAACCATGCCTAAATTAAGGATACCGAATCGGAACGCATGGAACCTGATTACATGTATGACGTATGTATGTAGTTACATTGACTTGAGTTCCCCTTGAGAGTAAAATGAATATGTAGGTAAAACATCTATGTATATGCTTCCTTGGTCCTGTACCTTTCGCTCGAACTCATATTCCATAATCTCGGGGGTGCGGTGGGTGCGAGTGACATCTAATGATGCAATCATATATCCCGGGTTATGTGGAAGACCACCACAGAAAGAATAATATTACATTTGCGGTTGATAACTACATGTACATCATGTACCTACATGTAAGGATCCAGCACAAACCCCCTAATTGTGGCAGTGCTAGTGATTTATAGGCGGGCGAGGGCGCGTATAAGGCAGTTGATTTAACTGGCATGGTAAGATCCACTACATGTAGTCAACTATAAGGTGTGCTTGCTATATATTAAATTATGGATGGAACACTGGGACATGAGACGGCGCATTTTCCAATACAACAGAAGATATCTGGCAGGATGTTGTTATAAAGTATGGATAAAAGAATCTCGGGATCATATTTCAGCATTAGTCCGGAGGATTGCAGCGACTGCTGTGGTGAAATGTTGATATCGAGCCATCTTTATCCCGAACCGCAAATGCTTTTTAACAATGGGTTTACCTCTTATTTGCATGGCCGATTCAATTGACCCAAGAGGAAAAGAAAACCCAGAAGCTACAATGCAGAATTCGAAACTCCTAGCCTTGCTTTTCATATATACAAAACGATAACAATAGAAAAAGAATATACAGAAACTCCTCGGTATTTAGACACTTAGCTTACAGGATATCTAGTTTATTCGGCCTCCTCTGTCTCCTCATTAGCGGCCGTTGCTTTCTCTTCAAGTGCCTTCCTCTGAATCTCTAGCACCATCCCGCCGTTCCTGCCTTCAAGCTTCATCCACCTTCCCAACCGCACTTCTTGCCCAGTTCCTGCACATATTACCAGTTCCTCTTTCCCCTTTTCTCCTCTCTCGAAGATTGAGAGTCCGTTTACTACTCCTCTAACAATCTCTTTGTCTGAATTATCGGGAATGCCAACTGCGCCAACACGCTCGAGCTTCTTTTTGTCTGCAGAGACTTTCCAGATACGCACATGACCGTCCCATGACCCTGAAGCAACCAAATCAGAGTAAGGGACTGCGGAAAGCGCAGTGATATAACGAGGCTGAGGAGGACAAGGCGGATTTTGATCAGGGCTGGTTTCGGCTGAAGATTGATCTGGTGTTGGTCCAGGATTGAGGCCGTGGGCATAGTATATGGTGTGGACAGGTTTCTTCTTGTGCACAGACCAAAGACATATATTACTATCCCACACTCACAGTCAGTCAGAGCTTGAGATGGAGATGTCGTGATCACTTACCCATTATCACTTCCGGTGACAAAATACTCATCATCGATCATCGCCACACAATCTATGCTTCCCTCTTCATATCTCTCATTGCCATTTTTATCCCTTTTCGGCTTTTTAGAATCACTACTACTTCCTCCGCCACCGCGAAACACGAGTTGAGTCTCGTCTACTATCTTCCATAACCTTGCAGTACGGTCCCTGGCACCAACCGTAATGCAACGTTCTGCATTCAAGGCTGTGATTCCAACAACTTGGTCTTGGTGTCCAAATAGTGTCTCAACATACGCCAATTCGTCCAAGCTCCAGAGTTTTACTGTACGATCATTCGCGCAGGAGTATAACTGGTTTGTTCCACGTCGAAATACCACACCATTTACTGCTGCTCGGTGATGCTTAAAGACCTTTAAAACCTTCAAGGTTTCCGCATCCCAAACTACTAGTCGACTGTCTTTTCCACCTGTCGCGACAAACTTTCCGTCCTGGGATGCAGCAACACAGAGAATGTCGTCGATGTGTCCGTTAAATTCGGTATCCTGCTTTGTGCCACCCCGGGCGAAGAGAACTCGCTTTGGCTTTTTGGCAGGCGTAAAATTTCCCGTGGCAGGCGGGGGTGGGTAAGGAGGGAGAGTCCACTTCACAAGATAACGGTCCTTGGTTACAGTGTAGATGTATGGATCGCAGGTAGCAATTGCAGTGGTTGAACCGCAATTCATACGGAAGAGGGTTGTTGTAGCGGTGTCAAAGGAGAATTGCGATGCCAGACGACGGTAGATTTTGCCTTTCTCTTCCGCCTAGAAGTTATATTAGCTTTCAACGTGGAACTTAGAACGAAGATACATACAACGCTCTCTCTAAGACGGGCCGCAATTATATCACGATCTATATCTGCTGCATCAAACCCCACTTCATCTATATCTCAAGGTATCAGCATGAAGCACTTCCCCGGCCGAACCGCAATTTCTCATTTTACCTGTTTCCTGCCTCAAATTATCCAGATACTGCTGCGCCAACCTCAATCGTTTCTCGGCAGCAGTCTCTCCTTCATATTCATCTTCCTCCTCATCATCTGTGGCGACAGCTTTTCCATCCTCACTTTCGCCCTCCGATTCGCTAGATATATCCTCGTCGTCCACCGGCTTTGCCTTTTTACCACCGGACCTATCCTGAAGATAGCTTTCCCTCGATTTTTTGTGTTTACCTCCAGAGGCAGAAACTTCGGTACGTTTGCGTTTTTTGGCCGAGTTTGGAACCGTAAAAAAGGATGACATGATCCTTTGTGGATTGTTGTCCAGTTGGATATGGCACCCAAAATTGTCGTTCGAATATTGGGCTGGTAGCAATGGCGCAAATATTTTTTTCCCTGCGAGAGCCTGCAGATGTTGGCCGGGTAATTGTTCTTCACACTGTCTAAGTAGGACCTGCATGGGCAGGCCAAGGACTCGTTACAGTGGAGGACTTCCCGTGGAGGTTTAGAAAAATAGATTTTTGGAAGTGGGCGTGAACACCTTCCCATGGCGACCATACATTCCAGATTTCTAAGCATTCTTTTTGGTGCTAGTGGCTGTTGCAGCCTGAGGGACCCGCTTAGGTGGTCGCAACTGTGAACTCATCCTGTTCATCAACCATCACCAGTCCATCAAGACCGGTTCATCCAGACCCGTTCATCAACTATCACCTGCTCATCAACAATCCAAATTTGAGGAATGTCAAATAAGAGAAAAGTAGCGGTAAGTGCCATCAATTAAGATATATTTCTTTTTCTAACTCCTGTAATAGGTGTCTACCAATGCCGCTGCTAGTAGTCAACAGTTTGGTACCGGATTTCAATCAACTCTACCCACTTATTTACCAAATGCTGCCGATGCCGAGGCCGCCGAGACCGCCGAGACCGCCGAGCCTGTTGCTCTTGCTAAATCAGCTTCACCTGCTGAGCCTCTACTGAAAAAAATCAAGAAGGGTGGGAGAGTACCCGGATCACAGAATTTCACTGATGCGGATAAGAAGAGAGCTTTTGGGATTATCAGGCGGGTTCAGCCATTTGGATCCAATAAATGGGATATAGTTTCAACGGAGTATAACAGACTGTCTAGAGAACTAGATAGAAAGGATAGAGATGGAGATTTTCTCAAAAAATATTATAGTGACAGAATACGGGATGGTTATTCAAAACCAACTGGAGATCCGGACTTGAACTGGGAAATACAGGAAGCGAGAGAAATCAAATATGAGATTGATGGAGTTCTTCATATGGGGAAACTTGATGATTCGGAAAGTGGAATTGCTATTGATAAGGAGGGGAAAAATGATGAGTTGATCGATGATAATTTCAAAGGGTTGGATGCATCCTTGACTATTTTGAATGATGATCGGGTAGGTTTCAGTTTGATATTCAAGTTGCTTGACGAAGTCCTGACTTTTATTCTATTTAGGTACTACCCGAGCATACTTTATTCGATAAATCAGTACCCAAATTGAAAATGACAGTTGAGAGAGCTAAGCGACAAACTCCGGGCATTACTTCACAAGCTTCTGAGCTTCTCAATAAAGTTATGAGTACTTTTGAACGGGAAGAAACTGCAGCTAAAGGCAGCGAAGATGTACTACAGCGTGCTTTAGAAAGATCTGATATACGTTATGAGAAATTGGAAATACGCTATGATAAGCTGAAGGAAAAACTTGTTCGTACGCAAGAAGAGCTTGAGCGAATGAAGGATGAAAACCACGAATTGAAGTTACAGCTTGCTATTTGGAGTACACATAACTGTATGATTCAAAAAGAACACAACTGAATTGATGGTGTTGATAGTTCGGATCAAGGGAATACAGGATTTTTTAGTCAATCAAGGAATGTATAGGAGCGTTAAGGTACAAAATGATAGAATCTTCTGATTCTATCGTTCTTCTTAATATCACGAAAAAGAAGTTCTTGAAACTCTGAATATTCTCCGTTACTTTTCCAAACACCTTCATACACAGTACGGATTTGATTGATCCCTTCCAAACGTGTCCGTACATTATGGAGTCTACTGCATACCTCCAAAAGCCTGTATCTGTATGCAGCATCCTCTGCGGGCATAGGCAATTTAAGTCGCCCAAATGACCCTTGCAAGCATCTCATTCCCCATTCAGCTGCCTGTCTGGCGGAAACCAATTGCTCATTGAATTGAATGAAACGGCGACACTCATCAATATCAGATGGGTATGCATTGAAACTTGTCTTTGGTGGAGTTTTGATTCGGTCCTTCAATTCTTTGGAGGTCGGAAATGCTGTATCGCCAATAATCCAATAGCCAGCCGGAGTATCAAGAAGTAGTTGCGCAAATAAATCTCGTGAGACAGCTGCATCATGCCAACTCCCAGGTGCATTAATAGTCGCGTGAATAATTGTCCCATCAGGAGCAAACACGAATATATTTGAGGTGAAATGTGCTGAACACCAACCATTGTAGTATGCGTTTTGGAGATCAAGATCGGAAGATGTAAAGATCGGAAGATGACAGCCATCGACGAACCCAATTGCTTTTGTCAGATGGTGGTGACGGTTTGAAATTAAGTCGGAATATCGTTCGCATTCTGATAATGTTTTGGGCCAGCAGATACGGGCTGCTGGAAACTCCCTTAAAGTTGCTTGCAAGATACACAGCCCCCAATTTCGATATCGAGAGCATACAGCTGGTGTCAAACCAAATATCTGTTGTAGACTGAAGTCGGCCATTGTGGAGTTGATATGATGTAATACAAGACCCAACACTCCAGGTGCATCAAGTGAGCGTTTGTATAGACGTGTTTTCGACATAAGACCGACATCGTTGCGTGGAATAGGTGCTGTTTCCCATTCTTTTGTGAACCCCGCTGATAAAATATGCTCAAATACTTCCACCCCAACTCCCATTGTCAAGATAAAAGCTCGGTCTTCACGGGAATGAAGTAGATGCTGCCATGCGGTGTTCTCGCTAGGTGATGGTGGCAGAACAGAACGGGTAAGGTAGTAGCGATTCCTTCTACTTCTACGCTCAAGCGAGATTAAAATCAAAAACAAAGAAAGTACAATGATTTTTTTTCGCCGAATGAACTGAGAAGACATCTTGATTGATTCTCCAGTAGAGGTTGATGGTTGAAAAACTACTACGGTACTGAACCTGACTATAGTCCATTACTTCAGGACCCACCCCGCATCTCTCTCAACCAATCATATTGCAGTCTTTCAAATTTTACTTGTTAGAAAATCTGAACGCACCCCCCTCCCCCCCCCATTCAGATTCTGAATCTGGAACGTTGCCATCCAGATTTTATTGTTCTAAACTTCCTCTAAACTGCCTCTAAACCCCTTCCAAACCTCCACGGGAAGTCGCCCAGTACCACAAAAAACATTCCTATCAGGAGATTGGTCAAGTAGGCATTTGGCCTTTATCACACCAGCCAGACATACATGTCTCGAGGAACCTGGCGTAGGATATTTTGGTTGGATTTACAAATTAATAATGAAAGAAGGGATTCTACAGACGGCTTTTCTCAGTGGCATAGTTCACCTAAATCTTATATAATGATGGGGTCTTTATAGAAGCTGTCTGCGATTTAGGATGTATATAAGTACATGTACACTAGGGGTGTGCCAACTCGCGACCGCGAGTTGTACGTTGAATTATGGGTATCAAATAAAATTTAATTCTCCCTCTACAATCATGAGGGGCCTTCGGCCCCATCCTCCTCCTCTCGTGAGTGCTCAGTACTTTGATGTGTCGTGCTGACTAATCAACATCCCTGCACTCAGCAGCCAATCAAACCGTTCCAATGTTCGAAAACTTAGCGATAGTACATTATAGATGTATGCACTCTAGCTCTATCCACAAAGGTACATATACAAGTTAAAGTTGCCTTACGAACAGGTACTTGCAGCCTCGTTTAACTGCCGTCCTAAGGGAAAGCTTCTACGAGTACTGACAAGCAAAATTAAAATCAAAGACTTTTATATCTTCTGAAGTTAACCGGCAAGGCGTGGCTGTCTACATCATCTACATGTATCTACCTATGAAGTAAGGTGAGATTGTCTTTTCTCGTGCGGTCCAATAGGCTGACATAACGTTTCTACAACTTCAGCAGATGTTTCTTATGTAAGCTGAAGTGTAGGACATGCTAAACCCTACAGGAAAACAGTCACTCGCAGATCATTTTCCCACACAACAACGCTCACCATGACAACTTCAAATAAGAACAAAACAACAAAAGTCGACGACGATACTTAGCAACAGATCCGTACCAGAAGAAACGCCAATCCGCCCACCTCTTTCCCAAGGTAAGTCAACAAACAGCTTTTTGAATCCATCTTACCTTTTCTTGGAGTCCGCCCGAGAAAAGAAAGGCGGACACTCAAAATGGCTGCTCCGAATGACTGACCCTTTTTCTCGCCGCAATTCACAGTAAACCTCGAAAACCGTCAAAATGGTCAAGACTTCCGTTCTCAACGACACCCTCAACGCCATCAACAATGCCGAGAAGGCCGGTAAGAGACAGGTCCTCATCAGGCCTTCGTCTAAGGTCATCGTCAAGTTCTTGAGCGTTATGCAGAAGCACGGTATGTTCGATTATTTCTTGTTTTCTCCACAACACTTTGCCTATATTTATTTTCTGTAATTTTTATCGGGTTGATAACTAGACGGAATGTCTCGACTTCCCCACGACTTTTGTCCTTTAAGTACCCGAAAAATTAAATATCATGCGCTGGATCTTACACGTTTCCTTTTCCCGAACTTTAACCTTCATCTTATGGACCATGAAACGTTTAATTCAACGCAACATGCTAATGAACTTATTGATAGGATACATCGGCGAATTTGAGGAGGTCGATGACCACCGCTCTGGAAAGATCGTCATCCAGCTCAACGGACGTATCAACAAGACTGGATGCATTTCTCCCCGTTACCCCGTCAAGATCACCGACTTCGAGAAGTGGGTTGTGAGACTCTTGCCTTCACGTCAATTCGGATACATTGTCTTGACCACCTCTGCCGGTATCATGGACCACGAGGAGGCCAGGCGTAAGCACGTTGCCGGAAAGATCATTGGATTGTGAGTGGCCTCTCTTAATTATAACCCAGTAGTTCCATGCTGATTTGGATTATTCTAGCTTCTACTAAACTCGATAAACCGGGTGTGGGGGAAACAAAGGATTGGCAATATCTTATTAACAAATAAAAAAAACTGGGAGGATCACAAAAGTTCTTCAAATGGGAAAGGGCAATGTAAATTCTAGATCAATGGAGTTCATGACTGTTTCCTACGGGCTGGCGTTCTGGTTCTTAATAAATGGGGATCTTAACTACATCTATTTGTCACAAATTGTGCAAGTAATGAAAGACTTTTATAAATTACCTATTTGATCAGTAATTCGTGCAGTAATTTCGTTTCTCAAAATGCAATCGCTGTGATTCAAGATTCAAGATCACGTGTGCATATTGTCCATAAGACTGCAGCCCCAGCGTATAATAAGGAACCAAGTATTGGGCTCGGAGCCTCAACCTCAATGCTTGCGTCGAATTAAATGAACTGCCAGAGCTATTCCGGAGTCGGAACTTGCTGTGATCAAAGCTCGACATCATCGACGGCGCAATACCGTCACTCCGGCTTGCATCTCATGTATTATTTAAGCTTAATCTATACTTAGAGAACTCGTGCAGGCGCCAGCTCCGGTACTCTCACCCGGATATCCAATACCTACTTGCATCGTTGTTGACACCGTGACGCCCATTGAGTGTTACACTCGTAATCGCGTTCAAGAACTCCACTATTTCAGCTCATACAAAGCAAGAACGCACAGGCGGGGGAACAATGTACTGGCCAGTTGGCACACCCCGAATATATGCTGCTAAACTTCCAGCAGTTATATCTCCACCGGTTTATGATTCTGATGACGGGTCAGCCGAGCTTGTACGGAATAGTCTCTCTGCGTCTTCTGGCTCGGGCAACGGCGACGGCGAAGATGATGAAGGTTTTGAGGAGGTCAAAGAACTACCCGAGGAGGAAGATGATGACGCTCTAGGCCAGGACGGCCAGAAAGTAGGAGAGAAAGAGGTAGTGGATCAGGATATGCTAGATGTCCCAAAAAAGAACAGGGCGGACAGGGCAGATTCCACTACAAGCAGTATTTCAGGCCTGGGAAAAGACGGTGAACCAGGGCGGGGGGATATCATTGCACTGAAAGTAGCGAGAAACGGGTTTTTGTTCGCGACCATCACGGCTTCAGAGCTCACTATCTGGCAGATGAAGGTGAGTAAGCTCATCCGATTCTCGTATCACACGCATCAAGTGACGGAAAGAGGGTTGCAGGAGTGCTAATATAGATTTCTACCCTAGCCGACAGCAGTGGTTGCCCATGTTCGTCGTTCTCAGTCGTCGTTGAACACGTATGGCGTAAATACAGATGTTCTGATTCGACCTGATTCTATGATATTTGTGGTTCAAACATCACTCGGATATCTAATAACATATTCACTTGTTAACGACCCAACTCGAGACGCCAGAGTATACAAACCGGCGTTTGTAAATAATCACCATTATGCACGACAGAACGCAATGCATGCCAGCGGAGCTGGCGGGAAAGCAGCCATTGGGGCGGGAGGTTTGATGTTGGGTGTAGGGGAAGCTGGAGGAGTTAAAGAGTACTCAATGAGGTTTAGGATGGTTATCAAGGTTGATGCGGGAATTAGCAAGTATGGCCTCTAAGTCTGGTCTAGTGATAGGAAGAAGCTGGGCTCTAATGGAAGTGATAGAGTACTGGCTCTCGACGAAGAATTGATGGTAGCCACAGTGAAACCTTCTGCAATTCAGTGCATCAGGTGGACTCCAGACGCGAAAGGAAACCAGACGACAACCGAATTACTGAGCCGAATGCTTTGGGTGCAAAAGAAAGGTTAGTAGTTTGCTGGTCTGGTACGTGCGAGATTACAGTGATGTATTCTAATAAATCATTGGTATACTAATATCTGGATGATATCAACAGCTATAATTACTGATATGATTCGTGATAAGCCTATGAGCTTGTCAACATGGATCACAAACGACGGTCGAGCTTATGCGGTCCAGAAGGTTTGTGCATTGATATTTATGTCAAGGTTGGGTGGACTCAGTACATTTATACTAAGGATCACATAGGAAATTGAATCATCGCCTCGTATGTTCAAAGGCCATTGTTTTCACACACCCAAAACCGCCGCGGAGAAGGCAGAAAGGGTTTCCATAAACGCCCGGTTTTCATTGATTGGTGTGTCGTGCTCTGGGTATGTAACTAACTACCCTTTCTATTCAAGGCCGCAAATTTAAATTGACCTTGTCAGAGGTTCTATCTACGTATATACTGTGAAAGACTATAATGGCGGTATCCCATTGTCGCATATCATCCCTTCTCCCTCTTCACCGTACTCCACAGGAAAGGCAACAGTAATATCCTGGTCACCCGATGGGTACTGTCTTTTTTCAGGATACGAAAAAGGCTGGGCTACATGGAGTGTGTATGGAAAACCAGGAGGGAACTCGTTCTCTACAGATGGTAGGATAATAGAAAAAAATCCGGGGGAGGGATATCTAGTTGGTATTCGAGATGCATGCTGGGTTCCTGGCGGGGGAGAAATCCTTCTAGTGAAAGAAGGCGGCGACGAACGACTGTGGGTTCTAGAGTTCGCCAGGTCTGCAGTCACTGGCTGCTTCAGCTCGGCGAACATCTCGCGCGCAGTCCTACAAACTAATGAGAAGATCCTCATATATCGCGGTTATGACCAGTCTGATATTACAGCAATCTCCCAGGAGACCAGTGTTCTATGGCATCATGTTCAGATGCCAACCGTCTATCTGGTTGATAACTGGCCAGTAAGGAGTGTAGTTATATCACCTGATGGAAGATATGTTGCGATTGCAGGCAGAAGGGGTCTAGCGCATTATTCCGTCAATAGTGGAAGATGGAAGACATTTGTCAATGAGAAAATGGAGCAAGAATTTGCGGTTAGAGGTGGTATGTGCTGGTATCATCACATCCTGATAGCTGCAGTTGAAAGTGATGATTCGTACGAGGTAAGTCTCCCTAGGGGTTCAATGAGTGCTATCCTCCCCGGATTCAATACTAAGATGCCTGAACCACCTAGATACGATTGTATTCCCGGGAATTGCAATTGGACAATACATTGTTGCTGCATGTCGAGAGCTTACCATCGGCTGTGGTCTCAATATCCCAATCCGGTGAAGACTCACTCTTAGTTTATACTCACGAGAATATTCTTTATCATTTCATAGTCCAGGTAACGAAGGATAGTGTCAGGATAACAAAGGTTGGTCAAATATACTTTCATGGTATAGTTCGTTCTCCTGCGCGGGTTCGAGCGATCAGCTGGATTTTACCAGAGGAACAAACGCGTAGCGGCGATCCATCTCAGGACGTGGCAGTTGCAACAGTTGTTTTTCTAGTCGATGGCAAACTGGTGATGCTCCAGCCTACATTGACTGAAGATGGTGACGCAAAGTATGATATGCGAACGTTGAAACAGAACGTTGAGTATTATGCATTGATGAGGGAACATCCTTTGCAACATCATTTCTTACCGAGTGGATCAGATCCTGGGAAAGGGCCGATAGATTTGCACTCACCGAATGGAAGCAGAATGGGGGATGGGTTGTCAGATTCACTGTGGTTGTTTGACGGGACGGATATGCGGGTAATTCCAACCCCCATACTCGCAAAGTAGATCCTGAAACTGATGACAAAATGATCTTAGGTTTGGAGTAATGTCCAGGATATACTTGATGCTCCCCATGGTGACGGCGGGAAGGAAATCCCTCTACCAGTACGAATTAGTGTTGACTTCTACCCAATGTCTACACTCTTAGGGAAGGGTATAATACTTGGTATTGAATCTGAGTTGGTACAGCGGAAGGATGTTAACTTCTCCTACTTCAAATTTGCAACACGGGTATGTTAAGACAATTATTCTATTACCCTTAAATATCTGCTACATTTCTAAAACTTATTTGAATAGACCCATCTTTTCATAAATCATCTTTTAAGGGATCATTTAGCAAATCACCGACCAGACGCTGCAGTAGAGCTAGCAGTTGGTTATGAGAAGCTCACTTATTTTGGGCACGCGCTAGAGATACTACTCCATGATGTGCTGGATGACGAAGCGGACAATGCTCCAGAACCTGAGGGTAACACTCTTTCCATTTCACCCCAAGTAGCTCAAATCTAAAACTGCCATAGATGCTGTCCTTCCGGGTGTAATACAGTTTCTTACGCACTTTCCTCACTATCTGGATGTGATTGTTGGTTGCACACGAAAAACGGAAGTCGCATCATGGAGCCACTTGTTTGCGGTCGTAGGTTCGCCTCAGGTTCTTTTTGAAGAGTCATTAGCGCGAGGGCTGCTCAAAACCGCGGGAGGATATCTTCTTGTTTTGCACACGCTTGAGCAGCTCTCTAGCTCATCACAAGATATGGTGCGGCTACTAGCGAGAGCTGTGTCAGAGGGTGATTGGGATCTATGTAAAGAGCTTGCAAGGTTTTTGACAGCTCTTGACAATTCCGGGAAGACGTTGAAAGAAGCTTTGGAGCTGGTCGAATTAAGGAGCCCCGTCGAAGAATTTGACCGTAGTTTTATGTTTGAAAGCGCGAGGCTAAAAAGTCCCACAGCTGAAGGTGGGAGAGGTGGTGAAGGGGGATTAGGCGAAGGTGCGACGGATTATGGGTTCCCAGATGTTGGGGGGAAGAGCAGACAAGATCAGTAATGTTTGAGATTTAGGGGAGCTGAAAGCCATAGAATATTCGCCGAAAAGAACAAATCATGAGTATCATTAAAGAAGTATTCTTATGTCTTAGTTAATGGCCCGCGCCCAAGAGTAATTAAACTTCTCTTGGACGGACCTGAATCACAGATGGTCACTCGATGTTATTTCTGTTTCGTCAAAAAAAAACTGCCCAATAATTTTACCCCGATGTTTACAGCTCTAGCATGTGCGTTGGATGATAAGGGGCCGTTTCATAGTCCTCATCAAGTACTTAACCCACCAACGGTTCTGTGAACAGTTAACTGGGGTTTGGTACAGAACTGTCTGGTCGCCAAGGCGACGACACTTGTAGTCTGTAGGTACAATGTACGACAAATACCTCGGCACATCGCTAAGTAAAGTTGAGTATGATCAACTGCTGGTAGGCTGTAGAGTAGCATACGGTATCCTAGAGCATGTCTCAGGCTACCCGTAACCTCCCCCCGCCTTCACCAACAAAAAACTGTTGAATTAAATCACGGATATCCGTAGCTCCGTGTCACCGATGAATATTACGGACTCCGGGTACGCGACAGTTTATCAAAATCAGAAGAAGAGGCCGACGACCCTTGTCCATTTGTCCTACGACGATCTTCTCCAGCGCGATGAAGCCAAGCCATATGTACATGTAGGTAACAGAAAAAATCAGGAAAGGGAATGGAACACGAAAAGCTAGGAAAAAGAAAAGTAGACGTGGTATTTGAACATCTGTCATCAGTATTTTTTCTGCTTGGTTGGTAACCCCAGTTTCACCACCCATCTCTGCTTCTTCACCACAACCAACCTTTGGAGTACCTACCTAGCCGTCATCCGCTCAGCCTCCGCTGGCTGCCCTCGTCGTCATCATCCACCCCTTTCGCTAGATTTACTTACTTCACTTAAACATCAAGATACCAGGAAATCAACTCTTTACTCTTGCTTCTTTGGATAAGCTTACATCGAACTTCTATTTTTTTTTTTTTTTTTTTTTTTTTCACCTCTTGCCCTTCTCTCTCCACAGACTGAGTGGAAATGGCGAAACCCCGAAGAAACGTGAAGTTTGCACATCGCTCGAATCTGAGCACATCTAGCGACATTGGTCGCAGGGACAGCCTTTCTGGTGATGATAATGCTCCTTTAAGTCCTTTAAGGAACGGAATATCTGTGGACGGCATAGACACTAGTACTGGAAGTAGATCGCCTGTACTGAAGGTAATTAATTTTTCGACGTTAAAGAGGTCAGAACCGTTGACACGTGAAACCTATTTTCTAGGAAGAGTCAACTCCACTATCAGAATATGAAAAGAAAAAGCAGACTTTCATTACCCGCACAATATGGACGCTGGTGATGATAGGAACCTTTTTCTGGGCGATGGCGGCGGGCCACATATACATCGTGGGACTGGTTAGTGCTGTGCAGGTGATAACCTTCAAAGAGGTAATCGCAATCGCAAATGTGCCATCTCGGGAAAAGAAGTTGCAGTTCACAAAAAGCTTGAATTGGTATTTTCTTGCCGCCACCATGTACTTTTTGTACGGTGAAAGTGTGATCTATTACTTTAAGCATATCGTCTTGGTTGATGCATTCTTACTTCCACTTGCGACGCATCATCGCTTTATCAGTTTTGTTCTTTACATGATGGGTATGATCACAGCAGGACTCCATCACCCTAGCTGATGTGTTTTATTAATATTTATTCAGGCTTTGTATTCTTTGTTGCTTCGCTCAAGAAAGGGCACTACAAGTTCCAATTCACGCAATTTGCATGGACACACATGGTTCTCTACCTTGTTGTCGTCCAGTCGCACTTCATCATGAACAATGTTTTCGAAGGAATGATTTGGTTTTTCTTGCCGGTATCTCTTGTCGTCACGAATGACATTTTCGCCTACATCTGCGGTATTACCTTTGGACGAACCCAGCTCATTAAGATCTCCCCCAAAAAGACCGTTGAGGGGTTTTTGGGAGCATGGATCTGTACTGTAATCCTTGGGTTGTTTATGACAAACCAGTTGATGCGCTACAAGTACTTTGTTTGCCCCGTTAAGGTAAGAAATATATGCTTCTATCTCAGCTATTCGTATTTGGGAAAAAAAAAACAGTGTTCTTTTTGGGACGTGAACCGTGACTATTCCCGGCTCGTCGCATTTTGATGATGATATACCACAATTTTTTTTATAGATGTTAGACTTCTGAATGTCTTACGACATATTGCAGAGTCTAGGTGTTTCTGACATATCTTTCCTATTTTGTTAGAACTTATTTGAACTACCGTTATAATCCGGAGGTTAGTGCTAATCACGTTATATCATTCTTCAGGATCTTGGCTCAAACGCGTTCACCGGTCTCGAATGTACCCCCAACCCGGTTTTTCTCAAGCAAGAATACGAGCTACCATTCTGGATGCAACCCCTCTTTGGGAAGATCTTGCTCATCGAGCCCATGCAATTCCACATTCTTGCCATGGCCACATTTGCATCGCTCATTGCGCCTTTTGGAGGTTTCTTTGCCAGTGGCTTGAAAAGGACATTCAAGATCAAAGATTTTGGTGATTTGGTTCCTGGCCACGGAGGAATTACTGGTAGGGAACCTAATATTGATTTTGGGATGTTCTTTTATTATTTGCGCAAAGGCTGATTTATCTTTCTTTTGCAGATCGCATGGACTGCCAGTTTATCATGGGATTCTTCGCATATATGTACTACCACTCATTTATCGCCGTCCACGTTCGCGCAACTGTTGGTGGAATCTTGGAGACAGCGATCACAAGCTTGTCACCGGAAGATCAGATGGAGGTTGTTGAGCGCCTAGGGAGATACTTGGTCGGGCAGGGGATTGCAAACGAAAAGGTGGGATAATACTCGCACGAATTTCCCCCCATCAGAGAGGTTGGCAACTAACATGTTACCATCTATATAGCTCCTCGAGTGTTTTAATGGCGCAATCAATGGCCAGTAAATACCGAACAGTTAAAAGGGAAATGTATATTCTCTCAACTGAACTTATGATTGATCGACCCAGAGAATACAAATTTCGATATTCTTTGGGTTCATAACACACCTCACGGATTCCGGTGATTAAAAAATTAGAGTAGGACGGCGATTAATGATGGGACTAAAATTGAAGGGAGTGTATATATATCTCACGATCGGTGTTTGGTATGGTTATCCTGTTTTAAAGGCTGAAAAGATAAAAGGGTTTGGGTAGGGAGCTTTGAGAGTGTATATTTTTCGGACTCTTTTGTTTTGCTTTCTGTTAAGGGATTCTTTCTATTTAGTTGTAGTTACCCTCTACCTTTTATTTCTTGCAGCTTGGTTCAACAGGTGTGGGGGTTTATTATTTTCACGGGATTCGTCATATTTTCTTTTCTTTTCTTTTTTTTTTTTTGGGGGGGGGGGGGGGGAGTTGGGGAATCGATGGATCTAGCATCTTTTTTTTTCTCCCCTCTTGTTCATTTAAGTATTGTCTAAAGTAATTTCCACAAAAAGAGCACGTCTGCGGACACAATCCAGTCTATAAAACCCAGCTACATAGAAGAGCACAATCGATATGCGATGTCAATGATAATTACAGAAGAACCCCCAAAAGTACAATTGCCACATGCCCCTGGCCCTGGTGTAAACCAAAAATAAACAAGAATAAATAAAAGAAATAAGGAGAAGCCAATAAAAAGAAATAACCAAATAACCAAAACCAATTATAAAAAACCAAGCAGAAGGAAAGGCAGGAGGAGCACATCAAATCCCCTTGAACCCCTCCTCAACCACCCACTTCCCCTGCTGCACCTTCACCAAAACCTCACACGCCCACCCCACCACCAGCAAGCCCGGCGGCCGCGACCCCTCCTCCTCCACCGCAGCAACAACATTCTCCAACGTCGTCCGCACCACCCTCTGATCCGGGCAGCTCGCCCGCTCCACAACCGCACACGGCACCGTCCGCGGCCACCCCTTCCCCTCCAGCTCCTTGACCAGCGCGGCTAAGCGGTGCAGTGCCATCAAGAACACGGCCGTGCGCGACGCCACATACTCTGGCGGGTCCGGGGCAGCGCCCTTCCTTCCCGTGCCCGTACAGATGAGGACCTGGTCGGCGACGCCGCGGTGGGTTGCCGGCAGCGCGGCGAACAGCGGCGCGCTGAGGGCGCTGGTGATGCCCGGGAGGACGAGGGGCGTGAAGCCGTGGGTCGAGAAGAAGTCGTATTCCTCGCCGCCGCGGCCGTAGATGTAGGGGTCGCCCTGCTTGAGGCGGACGACGTTGAGGCCCTTTTGCAGGCCGGCGAGGCCGAGGGTGAGGAGTTCTTCCTGCGCTTTGTCGGCGTTGCCGGGGAACTTGCGGGCGATGTGGAGGGTTGCGCGGCGGGGGACGAGGGCGAGGACGGGGGCGGGGACGAGCTTGTCGGCGAGGATTAGGTCGGCGGATTGGATGGCTTTGAGGGAGGCGGTTGTGAGAAGGTCTGGGTGGCCCGGGCCGGCGCCGACGAGTTGGATGCGGCCGCAGCGGGGGAGGAGGTCGAGGTCGGGGGTGAGGGCGCTGTCGTCGTGCGCGGCGGAGGTGGTGTAGGCTTGGAGGACGGACTCAATGTCGCTATCGGCTAGTCCACATAGCTTTTCCAACGGCCAGTACTCGCAGATCTGCGATAGCCACCTGATGCGGCGGGTCTTTGCGGCCTCGGCGTCCTCGGGCAAGATGAGGGTGTTGAAAGTGCTCTTCTGGTCTGCGTGGTCCTCCTCGTCGTAGAGCGGGGTGTCGAAGGCATTCTCCTCCTCCCAGAGGCGGCGGCGGAGAGCACCGATCTTGTGGCAGGCACTACCGATGCCCGAAGGGAGGGAAGAAGCGAGTTCGCGCCGGATGCGGCTGGCGAGCTTGCACCCGTTTCCAGAGGTGGTGACGCCGACCTGTAGAGGCCCGTCGGTGAATGTAGAAAGAAGGGTAAAGCTGCACAGGTGCGGGGCATCGGCGACGTTGACGGGAATCCGCAGAC